AATAAATGATTTAAGGTTAATGATAATTAACATTAAATAATTTATTATAACAGATAATTTTCAACATATGTAAATAATCGTGTTTGATGGTATTTCGAATCTGTAACATAAATCTTTAATATGAATCTTTTACATGAATTAAAAATTTATATCAAAATTGAAAGTCGCCAGCAGAACTATCACTTTTGTGAATACCGAGTTCTGCTTTGCAAGTAAATCACCAGATTATATAAATATGTTGCAATTATAACGCAAACCTGTAATTACCGCGATGTTTCTCAGGCTTTCACAGCGGTGCAAATATATAAAATTATTATGCAAACAGCTTCTGGCTTCTGATTGAAACATGTAAAAATATGGACGTAGAAATACGCAGACCAAAGTTGAGTCATAAGAGCATACCAGATGTTCTAAAGTGTCGAATTTCAGCATACGTTGCTAAATAAAAAAGGCATTATTTTAGTGAGAATTTCAGTAAATAAGACAATTTCTGATATATACATCAAAATGTATAGTATCCATTTTAATAAAAATTGAATCACTCATCCTACAGAAAGATCTTTATTTTAAAAATATCGAAATTAAATTTTGATCAACATTTTTTAAATATATAAACATATTCATAAAATAAAAAAAAATTGTTAATTAAATAAAAATTTTTTTTATGTCCATCCTAAAATTAATTAAATTTTACATTGGAGACCTAATCACGTAAACATTTAATACATATAACTGCTGACACATTTATTCTGACAAATTCCAGAGAAATTTGAAGAGCTTTTATATTCAAGCTTTTACTAAGAAAACATTTCCGCATTCATCAAATAATACTTTTCGACTGCTGATTCCCTACTTTCTAGGTGTACCCACACTTTTTGACCGTAGACCGACCGACTAATCGAACGGTAGCACTATACAAATAGTGCTATCGACCAACCTAATTGTACCTGGTCTCGTAAATCTCGTAGATATTCGCGTACGTAAGTTCCAATGAAACTTGTTTTTGCTCTAATTTACGTAGAATTTATTGGTAATAATTATAAACAAGATCACACATTTTGCGATTTGCTTTATTAAGAATTTAGACAGATTGATATTTAATGGCTCTGTGTTTCTCTTTTGCAATAAACGTTATTTAGAAAATGAAATCGGATTTACCAAAGGCTTGCGTGTTTGAATCGCAAACAGTATCAAAATAAATCAAGCGGCGAACTAGGAGATATCATTTGTAATTTAATGAAAGGCACAATTGCGTAAGTACTTGTCTGATAACGCGCTGCCCTAAATAATTCTGTCGGTATCTATCGAAGCGTTTCGGCAAAGCTGTGAATCAATTTAGAATTATTCTCTTCTCCCAATACTGTCCCGATAGTCTAATTTTGAATATTACCGAATTAATAAATTCAATGAAAAAAAAAAAGACGAGAAGGATTTGAATGTAAAATCTCGAGAAGAGCAAATAACAGCCAAACTGTAGGCGTCGGTATACAAATATGTCAATTCAATTGGCTTCTTTGATGCTTCCCAAACCTATCGATCCGCCATGAATTTACCTTGGGCGATAAACTGAATTTAAAAAAAAAACATCAGAGAAATATATATACACTATTCCAGTGAGAGTATCCCTTAAAATTCCAATTTAAAAGAAGCAATCATTAATATCAATATTTACGATTTGACTTTTATTGGCTCTTCTGTTATGGGGCAATTCGATAATTGCATTTAATGCCGAAGGAGCTGCTAACGCGAGCAAATGTAATCAACATCGAAAGTATTTGGAATTAATGTTCAATTATAATAACCGTTAGTTTGATAAAAAATATGATGCTTATTAAAGAGATTAGTTTTTAATCTTCTCATATCTATACGATTAATTTTTTTATTAAAATGCTAGATAGATCAATATTGTTTCGTGGTCTCTTCAGGTTACGTCATTCTCCCATTTGAGATCATTGTATAAACAGATGGAGAAGTATACGAGGAAATAAAATCCGATTGTAGCGTTCATCCGGCGTATTTCTAATGTTAATTAAACGGGTATTATCTATTGCGCAAACTATGCCAGAACGTTCTTGGGGGAGGGGGAAAGCGATAAAATGAGGGAAACTTGAAATCTACTACGCTTAGAGAATAATTGAAACTTTAACATAGCTACTTCTGGTCACGGCACATCGAATCTCAGGCGAGAGAATCGTTTCTCCTGTCTCCTTCGTATGCCGAATGTCTCGTACTTATGCTTCCAGCATGTATATTTTTTATACGACGTCATTTTGAAACCGCGAAGCCTTAATGGAGGGATAACGCACGTGCGGCGAATGTAAATTAAAATTGCCGATGCAGAAAGATGCTATCGAGAAAAATGATGAGGACACTGATCGAAGAGGTGTGTAAAGATCGAAAGTAATTGGATCGAAGTAATCGCGCGTATAGTTGCTTTCCAGAAATGACTTTTCGCGTTTCAGTTATATGTTATATTGACTGTGGTATAATTGTTATTAAATGCGAATGAGCGGTGCTTTCAGAATGGCTCTCAGAAAGAATTGAGAGTATTTTTAAAAAATTTCAATTAAATTCTTTCATTAATTGAATATTTTATCGATTAAACGCAATTATGAATATTTGCATTACTTTCTCGTGATTTTGCAAATAAAGCGGTGAAAGAGATTCTATATCATTCGTAAGAACTGAAAATGTGTTAGCGCATTAAAAATCAATTATATCACTGCAAAATATTATCGAATATTTTAATCGTAGATAAAATAGATAATAGAATTCATTCCATCTATCTCTCCGCGAATTCTCTCTCACCGGAATTAAATACTGTAAAAAAAAGTAATAATTTTGTAGAGAAAGATTATATATATTGCAGTATGTATTATATAAGAACGTTTACTTTTATCGAAGTGAGAGGAATCTTATTTTCTTATGCACGAGATGTCCTGAGACTATCGACCGCTCGTTCAGGACATCCTGCGTAACTTCAATACTTTTATCTAACGAGTCATTAAATGCTGTGATTTGTGACCTTCCGAATAATATATTCGCGATGTAAACTATCGATGTAGAACGGAGTTTGCAATAATACTATCCAGTACGTTTATTGAATGTACAACAATAAATTGCACAAGTCGCGCACGAGAAGCGTCTCACGAGGAGCGACTATGAAAGTAATGATCACTCCCGAGTACATAATTATACTCGTTTATATAAATTTTAATTATCTCCAAAAATATATACTGGAAATAAATAAATTATATATAATCAAAGTAACAAACTTACAGCGAGTGTTCCACGAAGTGATGTTTGCCAGTCACTTGAATTTGTTAGAAAATATCGACGTTGGTCGGATTATATGTTCCGTATATTGTACCGCAGGTAGATACTTGTGTTGTACAGAGAGGTCAAAATATTTGGAAAATCGAGCTCCAAAGAAGAAAAGTCTGACTCTTTTGTACTCTGAAGCGCTGCTCTCGCGTTGTCAGGGCTCATTGATTTTAACGATCGTCAAAAAGACCAAGCGATTCTTACAGCTGATCCTCCCGCAGAAATACCGTTAAAAAGTATTTTACAATGTAACTTTTGCCAAGAAGTACCTTCCAAAATTTAACGCCTAAAAGTATCTTATCCGAGCTTCCCGCAGGCAGTCTCCCATTTTTCACTCCCAGATACTTTAACGGAGATGTATTAAAAAAATACTACCGACGAATAACTGCGGCATAAACTCATTTTTTACGTCGTAAATACTTGCAGACTCCGGAGCAAGTAAAGAAAAAAAAAAAACATCACCGATCTGAGCTACTCGAGAATTATTCACGTGAAAAATTAGGAGAGACGGAGCGGTTAAATCGCTTTAATGTTACGACCGAGCGAATGTAAAAGACCCAGAAGCCATTTGTAACGAGGCGACTTTGTTCGCTTTTGCGAGAAAATAATCCCGAATTATTTCTTTCCGACCGAGACGACGACGTCGACGAATCTGCTCAATTTCTACCATAATTCTCAAAGTTAATAAATCTCATTGTTTATTGCGATACTCTTTGATTTCCTTCAATAACCCTCTTTCGCACATAATGACTTGTAGCATATAATGAGTTATTGAAAATGACTTGATATATCACATTAAAAAGCAAAAGTTTGTCGAGACAAACATAATTAATTAAAATATAATAAAGCATAAATCTATATAATAAAATGTACATATATATGTTATCAAACACGTATTAATTCATTCTATTGTTGCACTCATACTTTTCAAATGATAGTATATAGCTAAATATACTTCAAAATTTTCATTGTTTAATTAATAATAAAATACTACTTTAATTACAATATATACTTTAATTATTATTATACTGCATTTTCGTTATCGACGGAAATTTTTCGCGCATGATTTTATAGAAAAAAAAAAAAGAAAAAGAATATCGGTACATACCTTTTCCTGCGTTCGATTCCACACGATCACACTGTGACCGCTGTTGATCAAATTTTTCACGATACCGCTGCCCATGATGCCAAGCCCGAGAAATCCAAATTTCAGTTTTGACGGGAGGATATTCTTCTCCTTGAGAGTTTGCGACATCGTTTCGACATCTAAAGGTGGTGTAACCTGCGGAACAAGGTAAAGGGATGTTACGGGAAAGGATTAATGCGCAGCTACTGAAAATATTTTCTCTGTAAAAAAAGGAATAACTTTACAAATTCTATATCAGGCCTGAAACGCAATTTTTTTCCGATAATAAATTTCCATAACAAAATATTTAATAAATTTAATTCTACATCTATAAATTCGCGATAAATAATTATAAATAACTCAAACTGTGATAGATAAGAAAATTATAATTTATCAATAATAAAAAATTAGATTCAATTTTGTGACTGAAACACAAATAAAGTTCTCTAATGAAAAAATTAAAAGTAACAAAATGCAATTAATTGCACTCAAAATTTAATTTAAAAAAATTTTATTATATTTTTGATTGCAAAATATTTACAATAAAATTAAAAAAATTTTTTAAAAACATTCCCAACAAATTTTGATAAAAGAATATGCATTCTAAAAGGATTTGAATGATGAAAGATATTTGTTTTTTACAATGTCCTACATAGAGGATGTTCCAAAATTAACTTTAAAGTATCAATAGCATTAAGGTGTAAATATTTAAAAAGAACTCTTTCTTTAGATAAATTCCGAGGTTTTACAATATTTTATGTCATTTCTATTTTATAGTATAATATATTTAAATGACAATAACATATTCAATAAATGTATATTTTTAATATTAAAAATATATAGTCAGCTAGAAACGGCCAATAAATCGAGCAGATAATTATATTAAAATTCAAAACTTTATTAAATAAAGTAAGAGCACGGAACGTTTTGACCTTACTTGGTTTTTTCAACCGCAAAAAGTTACATTTAAACAAAAGAAATTAAATTAAGAACATAACATAAAATAAGAGTTAATAAACGTTGGACAGAAACAAAACTAATAAGAGCCACATTTACAGCGCAGACGCAAATCCCGTTGTTAGGATAAAAATCGTATAAATAATAATACAAAAAGAGAATGATAAAATCATTCTCTGTCCAAAATTAAAGGCTATGAATCCGTTCATCGTTCGGATGTGAGAAGGAGTAAAGTCAAAGTAAATGTCCGTAAATTAAAATATTGCATAAGTTATAGTCAAGTTATAAAAGTAAAAATTCGAGCCAACAATTCACATTTACTTAAAGATTTAGAAAAATCAAATCCAAAGATTGCGTCAGCGAAATGTGATAGAACTGCTTGCTTCGAACTTGAAAATATAAATGAGCACTGTGAGTAATGCGGAAACAATTATACTCAAACGTTAAAATTGTTATTCTTTGAAGGTGTCTCGATCGTGAATAAAAACGCAGATTAAAAATTATTATTATCAGCGAGTATGTCGAACAAACAAAAGTAAGAATCGTCAAGGAACTCTGTATCCTTTTGGAAGTTTATTCCATTTTTCTGTTCTTTATTAGTTTTGTTTCTGTCCTACATATTTATTAACTCTTATTTTATGATATTTTCTTAATTTAATTTCTTTCGTTTATATGTAACTTTTTGTGGTTGAGCAAGACCAAGTAAGATCGAAATGTTCCGTGCTCTTCATATAATAAAGTTTTGAATTTTAACCTATTTTTGATCGATTTATTGGTTTCTACCTGACTTTATTTTTTAATTATCTCGAACGAAAAATTATATTTGATTAAAAATATACATTTATTAAATATGCTATAATAAATAATAATATAATACTGCAAAAGTATATAACATTAGTCAATAATATATTGCAAAAAATTTCTCAAGTTAAAAATATCTTAGAAAAGAGGCATTAAAAATAATTAGACAGAATTAGACATCTTTGAGTGTTTAGGGTTCGTAGGTCGCGCGCCTAACGCGCCCATAGGTAAATTCTATGTCCTGAGCATAATTAAATAAATTTCAATATTGTTAATTTTAAAGCAAAAAGAAATCTTAATTCTCTTTAAATTTTATAATTATAACTTTTTAATAATTCACGTTAATGCTAAGATATGGAACCAACAGGTGGTAACGGGATCACCATGTGCCTCACTACGGTACTGAGGTGTAGCGTCCTCGTGTATGTGTGGCGTGTATGTGTCGCATGTGTGTATGTGTGGGTATGCGGCACATCTCGCGCGCGTATGCTGCCCGATTCTCGATCTTGATTTAACATAATGTTCCAGAATATTACATGAATATTAAAACAAATTTTTCAAAGGACTACATTTTAGCGCGAGTGCGCGATATAAATACAACTCCAAATTTTCAGATGCTAACTCGTATTTTCTATACATATTAAAATATTATGTATTATATTTAATATTGAGATCAAGTGAGGTAACGCGTAGCTCAGTATACGAGCGATCGACCTGTAATTAGACAGGTCTGGGTTCAATTCTCGATTTTCATCCCATAATAATATCTCAATTTATATGTAATTAGACAGGTCTAGGTTCAATTCTCAATCTTCATCCCATAGTAATATCTCAATTTATATATTTTTATATTTTTATAAGAGATCGGAAGATATAAAAAAATAAAATTTTAAATAAATATTATTTGATAAAAATATTGTGAGTGATAATGATACAAGATAAAAATATTGTGAGTAATAATGATACAAGATACTAATTATTATCATATTAATTGGGAATAGAACAAAGATCTCTTAGTCCAATAACAAAAAAAAAATATGACAATTGATATTATTGATATTGATTACTTACAGGTCTAGCGATATTAGCCGGTCTGTTAAGAAGCGATCCCGTTTTTCTGGCAGGTGTAGAATGATTCATATTACTCGGACTGACACTGTCAACATTGCTACTACTAGATTCTCGACGTTGCTTTTTAGCTGGCCGGCGATCGCCTGTACCGCTGTCGCTTGGACGCTTGGGAGTTTTTCCAGTAGCGTCCTATAATAAGTTCCTCAGTTTTACATATTTGATATAAAAGACAAGTAAAGATATGTTGCTGCTGAGAAACAGAAGACGGATTTCGCTGCTGACCTTACGCGGCTTCGGCGTTTTGACGACGGATTTCTTCTCGGGTACAGTCTCTTCTTTGAGTCTGTCGAACAAAGAGTCCGGGTCCAAACCATCCTCGAATACCTGATGCATCAATACAGGAGATTTAATCGTTTTCCATATAATTAATTTCTACTTCAACATTTCGATAGCAGCATACAAATTTTATTCTTTATTTTACAATTTTTATAATTTTATTTTATATTTAACTATCACCTTTAAATCAATGCATATACAAAATTTTATTTTATATTTTATATTTAACTATCATCTTTAAATCAATGCATATACAAAATGCCATCATTAATACAATGTTCTAAATTAATAATATATATTTATTAAGATATTAATTTAATAATTCAACAAAAATTAATATCATATTAAATTATAATATATATCTATGGATGTGTGTGTGTGTGTGTGTGTGTGTGTGTGTGTGTGTGTGTGTGTGTGTAATTATCAGATATAAAAATTTTGCTCACCTCTCCTTTGGCGATAAAGTCTTCTATGGCTTCCACTGCATCTCTGAATGCACCAGATTTGCTAGATCTCACTAAAGTCTCTTTATACTCTTGATAGGGTTTAATGTGAGATTCCTCTATCCATGCGCTACAAAAGAAAAGGCATCATTAAGAATTATAAATCATAGTAACATTTCAGGAATAAGATAAACAATCCACAAATAGAACTTACTAATTGTTTGTCCCAAAGAAGAAGATACACTGTACTGGTCCCTTTTTAGTGTTCGCAGGCTTCTTCAAGTCCTTTGAAGGAACCGACACCTTTGCATGCCATTATAAAATTAATATATAATATATAACTTATTACCAGTACTAATCGTAACATCTAATTTCAATTTACAATCCATTTGAAAAATAATATCGACAATTCAAATATAAAATTAATATCAAACTTTTACAGAATAAAAAAATAGATATGTTTATTGTAGAAAATTAGTATTCAAATTATTTTATGCTATACCAAATTATCTCATTTTTAGTTAGGTGCAAACTTTTAAAAGTTTTCATTGTATTTTTACAAATTAAAATTAAGAAAAATATATGTCAAAAATAAATTTCTATCAAATAATATCTTTGTTGAATAATTCTCCGTTTTCAAACGCTATGTTTTGTAGTAATAGTAGTAGTTTTCTTTTTGTATTAAGACGCCAATAAAAACTGTTCGAGCTAATTGTAAGACGGCACGTTGGTACATCATCCCCGGCCTTCGTATGTACGACCCTGCCGTGCGCGACGACGATTGCCGCGTAAACGCAGCCGGAAGAACCTGCGAAAACTTTCGTCGCATTTTCCACATCCTATTCTTCCTCTCTCGCGGACTATGCATGACAGAGTACACACCTATTGTGCGGGCGATATTCATTCTCCGAGCTATTCGTCTTCAATACAAGTCGAGACCAACGAGCAGTCTTGACGACTGCGTCCAAACAATGAAATAAACTTACAGCATCTCCCGAGACTGTATCTTTGGGACATTTTTTAATCAAACGACTATGAACATGAGCATCAGGAGAATGCATCGTTGACAACTGCCAGGGGGACGGCAGGGAGGCCCAGGAGGAGTAATCGCTAGACAGCTCGCCCGACACGCCGCGCTCACGTCACGCGCGTTTCCGCCAATCGCGTGAGGCGAGACGGATTACGCGGGACAAATTCCGGAGTCTCGACGACAGCGAGCCTCGCGCCGGGCGCACCGGGGTACACCATGCGAGAAATTTCCCGCGGCGAGAAGTGACGAGCGGGAGGGGAGGAGTCCTGCGAGGGACTCGTCGAGCGCGAGAGAGAGACGATTCGCGGTCGCACGCAGGATTTAGGTTATAAGCTTCCCGCGGCTTGCGCGCCAATTTGAATTCGAAGGTCGGGTGTGGCGGGAGACAGCTAGGCGGCCGCGTCGCGCTGTTCCGATACGATGCGATGCGATCCCCGGTCGGCGGGCCGACGACGCCGATGCGTCGCGGACCCGCCGGGGGCCCGGTGGCGTCGACAGCTGGTGCGGTGCGCTTCGTCGTCCCGGCGGCAGGAGCGTCGACGGGGCGGAACGACGCGAGAAACCGCCAAATACGAGCGAGCCTGCCGAGGGCAGGCGCCGCGACGGGAGCGCAAGGGCGCGCGCGCGCGCGCGAGCGGGCGCCCGCGCGATGTTGACGGGAAGAGGAGCACCATGAAAGCCCGCGTTGTGTGAAGCTTAGGAGGGGAGTGGGGGATACCAACTTACCCGGCCCGGCCACGGTGAGAATCCCTTCATCTTCGCCCTGAAAGCCAGAAAGAAAAGATAGCGTGATGAAGGGATTAGGGATCGCGCGAGAGAGCACGGGGTACACGCGCGACCGTGTTGCCGCGCGCACTTATGTCAGATCACTTGATACGCACCATACTAGATCACCCAGTTTGAATACTTCCGACATCGCGCGGAGGAGACGGCGAAAAACAGGTCAACCTTACTCCCTCGAACGTCAGCGAGCGACTGACTTGCGTGCGGCGGAGCGTCGTTTATGCACAGCGACGTGAGCGCAGTTGCTCCCTCTACTCGCCGTCCCCCGCGCGGTCCCCCTTTCGAGCCCGGCCCCCCACCGCGCGGCGCCGGTCGGCTGGTCGAGCGAGCGACCGTGGACGCGAATGGCCGGTGTTTCTGCCGTACAGTTCTCGCGAGGATGAAAACCTGCTCGTCGCGCGAGCCGCGAATAACGCACCGCGACGCTACGTCGAGGGAACGGCGGGGTGTTGTCGTCGGGTGATCGCGAGCCTCGCGCTTCCGGCGCGTCGTGCTACTTCCGCCGGCTACAGTCCCGTCCTAAGGAACGGCTCGCAACGCGCGACCGTGGACGGACCAATCGTCGGCGCGACGCTCCTTGTCCGCGCGATCCAAATTTCCAGACGTGACACCGCACGACGGCAATGTAATTTGCAATTCTACCGATAATCGCGTTGCGGGAAGTAACGGATGCCGAAAGGAACCTTCGAAAAGGGGGGAAGAAAGAGTGCGATCGTTCGCACCGCGGATCGCCGATGCGCTCGGAGCCCGAGAGACGCCGTCACGGATCCCCCGTCCCCCGTCGATCCCGCGAACGATAGACGTCGCGCTAGGACAACCGGCAGCCGTCACGTCGATTACGACTTACCAGCTGTCAGACATTGATTGCGAGCGCTTTTTACCGTCGTCTCGGCTCGAGGAGGCTCTCGAGCAAGGGCCATTCCGCGTCCCGCAAACGCGTGAATCCGTGTCCCCAGGGAGAGTTCTCGCGGACACCGTTCCCTGGCCGCGCCGCGCAAATCTGGCCGGAAATGGACAGTAACGCCCGTCACAATACGGTACGTCCACCCACCCGACGAGTCGCAGAAAAATGGGAGTTCCGCGTTCACCGCGAGCGCCCCGCGGACGTCGTCGTTTCTCCTCCGCCGCGCCGCATCCCCGCGCTGTCACGAGCGGCACGGTCGACGAGGATCTCGCGTTCGATCGTCAACGTATTTTCCTCGCGCGATCACAGTCGGCTGTCGCGTTCGATCCCCTTGTGTTGTTTTGACTATTTTTTTGTGCGCAAAAAAAATCACATCGTCTATCTCTGATTCAGCGAAAAAAAAGACATGTACCATTCCGATTCCAAGACTCCTCGTCGGTGACCCGTTTCTTGCCGCGGGCAAAAAAAAAAACGTTCGGTGATAATGCATCAGTCGTCTTCGTAGATCGTATTTTATTGAGATCTGTTTTATGCGTTGCTCCACAGCCGCCTCAAACGGATGCGGATACCGGGGGCGAAACGTCAAGTCCGAACGAAATTCCCACGGTCACTGTGGCGATGCCGTTCATGATCGACATGCTTGGCCATTCCGGAGCGTCCACTGCTGCTGCACAGTCTACGACAGCAAATCGAATGGTAATATATTGCAACATAATGTAATATTAGAAATAAACTGTATTCCGATAATAAATTGAATACAGAAATAAGTCGTCTAAATGTGAGCCTTATTCACGGATTGTATACATGAAATTGCATTTTTATTGCTCTCTCAATTATATAAATTTGCATTAATAGTCGCAGAGGCTTACACGACCAATTTATTTTTGTATTTGATTTACTTATGGTTGATTTGATAATATTACGTAATATTTGGTATGTTGTTTTTGAAGACAGTGCATGCATTCTCTTATATGGTATATCTTCCTTCTTTTTCTCTTCACGTTGGAGAAAACAAGAGAAAAGATGAATGGCGCACGCACCGTCTTCAAAAAGAATATACCAGTTACATAATGTAGCATTAGATAATGTTACATAATATGATACACTGAGACATAATATTACTTAATACAATGTAAGATATATACATTGATAAAAGTCATGGGTTGAACAACTATTAACCCAATAAAATTTTTCAGGCTGATGGAGAGGAGATTCCACCTCCGAAACTAGACTTCTCTGCACCACCCCCTTATGAAGTAGCCACCAAATTACCCAGTTACGAGGAGGTTCAGCGTGAAAAGACTCTACAGGGCGAGCCGCAGCCTCAAGTACACATGGTACACGACTGTACTTAAAATTTTAATATATACATATCTATATTTTGAAATATTTCAGGGTAACTCAAAATCTTTTTTTTTACAGCCAGGAAATATTAGACCACCACAGCAGCCTTTAACAATATTGGCAATAGATACTGAAGCTGCGGAAGGCGATCCAGAAAGTGGGCTGCTTGGCACAGATTTTATGTTTTTCACAGCGTTTCTTGGTAAGTATACAATATATCTTTACATTCTACAAAATGTCTGATCTCTGTAGCGAGGGATGATTATCTGCATTAATTTGTCTCCCTTACAGTCGCATTTCTTTTCAACTGGATCGGATTTTTGTTACTGATGTGTTTCTGTCACACTATTGCCTCGCGCTACGGTGCGCTAGCCGGCTTCGGATTGTCTCTGACAAAGTGGACGCTCATTGTTAAGCACTCCACCGACCTCGCTTCGCGGGAGAACTCATGGCTGTGGTGGTTGATAATGGCATTCGGTTTGTATAACGTTTCAGCAATTTAATCAAAAGAATTAAGAGAGGTAATTGCTTAAGAAGGTAAAGTGTGACGCTAACTACGTTTCCAGGAGTTCTAATTTGCGTACGTGCCATCATTCAATATTTAAACATCAAACGTGGTTGGAGACTACTGTCCGGGAGCGCACAGGAGCGTCTACTTTTTTTCTACTAAGGATCATTAAATCTGCACCCTTATTTTTTTCTTTACTCAACTTGGCTTTAGAGCAAACAGCATTTCTATGTGGGGTCGTATTTGTATAATATATATAACCGACATTCTTAAGGGAAGAGCATCGTGTAGATCGTAATATCTGTCAATCGTATTTATATAGAAAATGAAGAATCTTGAAAAATTATTTGCCAAATTCGTGCAATGGATGTGCAATGGATATTAGTGAGAATAAAAACAATTAGGTCGTTTCTCGCATTATACACATATTGAAGGTATACAAACGCTATTTTATGCAATGTTATACATAGGTTATGGGAAAAAAAAGATGTCTGTACATTTTTATTGCTCAAAATAATACGAACATCGCTTTACAAGTCGATGATTTTATTTATTTTAAGCGTTGTTCATTTGAGTGCAGGTCGCGAAAGAACGTAAATGTGTAGAGCGCATGTCAAATCGCAACTTATGAAAAATTGACAAGTCAAAAATGAATTTGCAGGAAGAGATGAAATATACGATTCGTTATTATTTCTGAATAAATGATGAATAAAAGTTTTCTAATATATAATACATTCTAGCATTAGAAAAGCTTCTAGAGATTGACTACTTATTAAATATAAGTGTATTAATATCTGGCTTGTTTATATAGTATTATAATTTATATATATATATAAAATATATATACATATAGTGAGAATTCTTATCGAGGAAGAATTCTGAGATATAAATGAAAAGTAATAAATATTACGTATATGTATTAAAATTTATTATATAAAGCGATATGCGATTACACGTTATTCTGTGAGAAATTTCATTGTTATACTCATTACAACGATAAAACTAAGAGATAGACATTCGGAATTTTATATATTCCTTTCCTCCCCTAAAAGTCGCAATTAAACTCTTCGAATTTTGGAAAATTCTTGGAATTTTAGTGCAACCTTATCAATTATGTCAATTTTGAAGATGCTTGATTTTCGCGATTTAAAATCCGAATTTTTAGAAATTTGGAAAATTCTTAGAATTAATAATTTAAAATTGGTGACAAATAGATATCAAATGGTTACCAAAATTTATATTAAATTTATTAAACAATTCTTATAGCTCCTCTTTCTATTTATATGTGTATATTAGAACCTAAATCTATTGTAACAAAATTGCACACATAAGAAAAACGATTTCAAATAAGATGTGCTGTAAATCAAGATATTAAAAATTTCATGTACACAAAGCATTATCAAAAAAATATTTTAAATGATTTTAACAAGTTATAATCTTTTTTGGAAAACTGTTGATTCGAAAAATTTAAGTTTTTATTTTTTTTTATTCGTATCTTCGCTAAATATAGTAAATATATACATAGGGTTCGAGTCTCTACTAAATGGGGTTGAAGTCTCGACTAAATAGGGCGAATCTTTGCTCAACAAAATCGTGTCTTCACTACGTCGGTAAAATATGTGCAGTCTAATAGGGTGGTTCACAAGAGGTCCCATGGTGTAATGGTTAGCACTCTTGACTCTGAATCCAGCGATCCGAGTTCAAATCTCGGTGGGACCTACCCTTTTTTTTATAAAGTTATAAATATATTTTTCGTTAGTATTAAAATGTATAAATATTTCACGTGCGTACAGGTTTAATTATTCGTTTAACATAATTAAAGATCGCGCTTTTACAAGGTGCGATTATACAAGATGGCTCTTCTATGCTTTATTTGAAACTTTGTTTTATTTGAAACTAATAAAGAGATCGGTGGTAAAAGCTAGAGTCCAGAGTGCTATGTCCCAAATTTATTGAGACTTTATATTTCTTCTGGCGACCTTAGAAATAAAATCAGTGTTACACGAAGACCTTATCGGTTTAACAAAAATATATACATATATCCATATATGAATAATATATACATACATCATCATGTTGCTAAACATCGTGTATGTTATAGCAGTTCGCGATTTCAATTAATTCAAAGACGTTTATGGAGACAGACGTGCTTTCAAATTTAAATTAGAAAACTATCTTGTGGTATCTAGTAGTCTTGTTCTTTGAAAGTATTTTTAACTTTGCCTTGGACTCTATATGTTCGAATCTACTTGGTCCAGTCTATACTCTCTTGCGTGATATAACCAATTATTAAATTCGAGTTTTAAGGATTTTAATTATGTCGAAAATTCCTTAATTACTTTCAAACTTGTTTGGAGGTACAAGCTATAGCTGTATAAATAAAGGTAATTATTTTTGCCTACTCTCATAAGTAAAAAACACGCACGAGTAAAAGTGACGCGAGTCACCCTGTATATTAATTCAGCCTCGAAATTTCTGCGAATAGTCTTTGCTGTTACAAGAAATCCGCCAGAAGTCAATCGTACGCCTGGCTTTACGGTCGCGTCTCCATGTCGAGGTAACATTAAGTAATTATTTGAAATACGTACATAATTAACCCATTGTTCGAGAGCAGGTGTGTATCGAGCAACCTAGAAAAGGAGGCAAGTGCAGGTCGTGCAAGGTGCAAGCCGTGCAACTCGTGCAAGTGACGTTTGCATTCACGCGAACGTCGCGTATATATACACCGAGGAGCATCGCGGAGGTAGAAATTTCAGCGGGGTGATCGCGCCGACGAGGAAGTAATGAAACAACTCCCGGAGGAGGACAAGAGCAGTCCGCTCACTAATGAGGACAACCCCATAGTTTTTCTGGACGTCGCGATCGGCCCGGAAAAAGGTACATCCTCGCGCGAGGTTATGTACAATCCTTTCCCCTCCCCCTACCCCCCCCTCACGGGATGCAAACATCAGCTCGGGGCCCGCTTGTAATCTTATTTCGTTCGTTTTCCAGTGGGAAGAGTCGTCGTAGAATTGTTTAAGAATGTCGTGCCGCGGACCGCGGAGAATTTCCGCGTGCTGTGCACCGGCGAGAGGGGCGCCGGCTTGAAAGCCGCGAGGTTACACTACAAAGGAACCGTCTTCCACAAAGGTGCGCGTTACCGTCATCTCGGATTCCCCGCTGCCTCTCTACGGCAGCGTCGTCCCGACTTTATCGTCCCTCTGTTTTGTCAGTCAATTTTAAAGATGCGATACGAAAGCATTTCCAGGCCTTGCCGTCAAGGTCTATCTGGGTCCCTTATTTATTTACTTTTTCTTTTAATTGGATAAAATCGGAGTTCTTTAGAGGATGAACAGAAGTAGAGTAGTTTAATTTATCATGATCTGTATAAGTCAGTCTTGAAACTGTAAGTTTAATTCATCCAGTCATGGTCTGTAAGTTTAATTTATTATAACAATCGACTCGTAAACGTATAATTTTGTATTGTCAATACCTAATGCCTGTGGAAGTGTAGATCATTCATTCTATTCTCTTTTAAGGATGAATAGAAATAGAAGTTGATTTACTGAGACAATTGTCATACATATTTAATATTATATTACTGCAGTCATTTCACAGTTCATGATCCAGAGTGGCGACATTGTCAATTTCGATGGCACCAGCGGGGAGAGTATTTACGGGCCCTACTTCGACGACGAGAACTTCACATTGAAACACAATTCCCTTGGGCTGCTTAGCATGGTGAACGAAGGCAAGCCGAACACCAATAGCTCCCAATTTATCATCACCGTTCAACCGTCCACGCATCTGGACAACACCAATGTAGTATTTGGAAAGGTTGTAAAAGGCATGAATGCAGTGATCGAGCTCAGCAAAGTGTCGACTGAAAACGATATTCCAGTTGAGGTAGGGCTATATCTTTTAAATTACTTAATAATAGCTTCCTGGATCTGTGACAGTCGTCTTAACTTCACGACTGGTTTGTTTAGAAAATAAGTATAACCAATTGCGGAGAGTTGAAGAAAGGTGAGGACTGGGGATTGGAGGAGAATGACGGAACTGAGGACGTTTTTCCGCCGTGGCCGGAAGATTGGAATTATTCTAAGCTTGTCAGCAAGCTCACCGTAAACTATCATTCATATATGACTCCTGAGTATTATTACTTACGTCGCTGATGTGCTGAATTATACCTTGATTTGAATCCGTCTTTAGCACCTATTTATGGAGGATACAATAAGGAAAATAAAAAAATCTGGAAACGAGTATTTCGCAAAGGAGAACTACGTGGATGCTAGTAGGAAATATAAGAAAGCGTTACGATATCACGACTGGATGAAACAGCACCATGAAGACATGGTGGACACGTTTTATGGCTCACTGACGGACCTTAGATTAACTTTGTTACTTAATTTAGCCGCTGTACGATTAAAGCAGAAAGAGTATCGTAAAACCGTAGACCTCTGTAATGAGGTAAGTAAATATTTTGTGAGAAAATCAAGAAATATTGCATTATGCCTTTAACGCAATGACTATTTAATTCAGGTTCTGGAAATAGATGACACAAATGAGAAAGCGTTGTTTCGAAGAGGACAAGCTTACACTTCCATGAACGAATATAAATTAGGATTAAAAGATTTCTTTCAGGTGTTCGAACTGTGTCCTGACAAGGCTATTTTACAGGAAATAAAAAAAGTAAAAAAGCTGGAAAACTTTTATTTGGAATTAGAAAAAACAACGTATCAGAAGATGTTTCATTGAATATGCTGTACATTTATCATTTTAATGATAAAAAATTTTATATTTTTTTATTTTTTAGATGATAACTGACATCAAAATAATTGACGATTGAATTAATTTACCATTTCTTGAAAATCTGATAAGAGTTAATACAAAATCAGAAAATATGTTCTTACTAATGCAGAAGCCATGTGCAAAAGAAACTAATTTTTTCACTTTTAAATAAATCAATGTGTCAATTTTGAAATCAATTGAAATATTCCAATCAATGTTGAAATCAATAATCAATGTGTCATATAACGGTGTACAATGTGTCATAGTACTTACTCTTAACGACGAAATATACGAAGATAACACTTATCTGTATTTATATATTATATATCTTTTTAAATATATTTTTATCAAAAGCGCAATAAAAAGGAGAAAAAAATATACCTCATGACTGTTTAATATTCAGGCAATAATATGTTTAACTCTGGCTGTGTATATATTTTTTTAAAGCAATTAGATATAAATTTAAAATGTAAATAGTGCATAATCATAAGACATTATACTATTTTGTGTATAATTTATAAATTAGGGAATTTGAAATAAATACAATATTGTAATTATATTTCTATATTCTTATTTCACGAGAAAATCTATCCAACTCGTTATCACTAGGAAATCATTTTGGTCATACATGTATCGAAAAATCACAAAAATATAAATTTAAGCTAAGCACATCCGTCTACCTTGTCTTTTGTAAAAAATAAAATTTTTTTTCAGCAGATACTCCAAGAATATCAACCTCAGATATCCGAAAATTTAGAGACCTCATCGTCAATATTAAAAATTTTAATGTAGAAATCCATGGAAAAATTATATTTTAAAATCTGTACCACCCTCAGTGTGTTTAATTCGCGTAATTTTTTATAATTATTGCCAGATTATGTTGTTTCAATATCAAGAACTCAATATTATCAAAGCTATTAGAATATATTTTGGCAGAAGATAGCACGAATTAAATACGATTAAAATTTTCCATCGGAAAATTATTTTAAAAAACTAAATCAAATTGAAATAAGTTGTGAATTTCAATTTTCAATATTAAAGCATAATGTGGAAGAGATAAAACAACTTATTTCAGGAAAGCACGAAATAAATCATATTTAACTTGTGTGCTACCTTCTTGTCGAAATATACTTTTCTAGTAACTAATAATTTTCGAGAGTACCTCAAAATGAGCAAAAATTTTGTCAATCGTATCTCCGTTTCTTTATTGCATCTTCGAATTTATTTAGAATTATATTGCATACAATATTTTAATGCATGCGCGATTAGCAAATTTGAAGCAGTAAGTAGTGCAAGAAGAAAAGTGATTAAAGATACGGAGATTCGATTGTACATAGAATAATACGCTGCAGCTGATGCACAATATTAATTTATTAAGCTCGCGTGTGTGCGTAGTTCGCAGAATATTAAATTGTTCAATCAACAGTTATTTGTCGCATATTCTTATATACCACTAATCATGGAACGAATAGTTACTGAAACTCAGTTACATTTTCGTGACCCCAATCGTGCCGTTTAACGATGTAATAGGTTCAAATGAACGTTTTGTAATGTTTACTTCTCATAACGTTGAGTAATACCTATATAACAATTCTGAAATATCTACAATGTATCTAAATGTAAAAGCTATTCTATATTGACTAGATTCAATCATGTTCTTTTGCTATCCTTTCTCAATTATACCTACATTAAAAGTAACGCTTCTTTGCATATAGACAAATAAATAAATAAATAATCAAATACAAAATTTTACGTGAGAGAGCTAAAAATTAATAAATATATATTTGGTGCAGAGAAGTTTAATTAAAAAAAAATTAATTTTTTCCAAAATACGAAATACGATTTCATGAGAAAATGTAAAATTATTCTATTAAAGTAAGAGAGCCGTAAGTGGAATGTTTTTGCGGGAATGGTTTTTCAGTGGCCAGTTTGGTAAAATATATGCTATACGTTTTACGTGATTATACGTACTGCCGTCAATAATCGGACGGAAAATTTCTGAAATCCCTTACGACAATGCACAAATACGTAAAATGCGAATGTTTTTTCACGGAATATACTTCATAAGCTAAGCAAACGTTGCACAAGCTGACAAATGTTTTATAGTCATCGACATAACTTCGCGGCTATCATTTATACTGCTTTTATCAATCTGTTTTAACTTAAGCTACATAAATACTTTTATTCGGTCAGAATGTGGCAGCCTCTGTTGTTCGTGATCGCAGTATCTCTTTTTTTTTGTGGTAAAACAGTCCACGATTAAAATTATATCCCATTTTATAATATTTTTACGAGTATAGAATCACTTACTTTTTGTTATTTACAATGAGCATTTTCTTTTCGCTTTACTTCACTTTGCACATACCGTCTTTACTCACAAGGCATATGGTGCGGAAATCCGATGCGACAAAGTCAAATCTAGCAGATCTCCTTATCGTCTCCGTTAACCACGTTGTCCGCGCAGTTCCCGTAAGCGTCCGCTCCGTTTTCCGTCTCGATCAAATTGTGCAGCTCCTTGCACAGCGTTTCCTCGCACACCTCACCGTCCATCGTCGCGTTCTCAATTATATTCTCGTAGCCGTCCGCCGTCTCGTTCGCAACCGCTTGCTTGAGGTCGGATTCTATCATCTCCTCGCAACTCTTGAACATCTCGGGATTCTCATTCGAGTTCAGCATCTCGGGATTCTCGTTTGAATTCAAGATATCTGTGTTTACCTCGTCGTCCGTCGTGTCGGTGGACTGCGACACCTTCTTCAGCACACTGTCCACCAGATTCGACGCGAAGCTCTTGTTCTCGATGCCCTCGTGTATCGTTTGGTGTATCGGCAGAGTCTGCGGTCTATTGGGACGTCCGTAGGGGAACGTGTTTTCCTCGCCCGCCGGCGTATGCACGGCGGATATCTCCGTTTGGGTGGCGACGCCGTGATCGACGAGGACGGGCCTCGGATTCATGCTGGACATGCAACGCTTTATCTCGGTCATCGAGTCTTGCAGCTGTTGGACCTGATAAAAAAAAAATTAAATAAAATAAAAGACGAGAGATTCAGACGAATTTAAAATTTCCCTTGACAAAATACAGAAATCCTTCCTGAAAATCTACCTGGGTATGAAGCAGATTGCACGTTTGCGCGAGATTACTGACTACGTCCGCATTTGGTTGCAGGGTATTGTCCGTATCACCGAAGGCGTTTTCTCGATTCCCGCCCGGCTGCAGACTGACTACTTTCTTCCACAATGCATTGATCGCTTGCATCTGCAACAATTGTAACTTGTGCTCGCTCTCGAGAGCGGTTCTCGTGGCTTCCATGTCCGTCGACAGTTTCCTGTAAGATATTTTACGCGTGTACATCTTATATCCCGTAAATAAAGTATTACGCATGGAAAAAGTAAAGTCTTACTGGATGTACTTATTCGTTCTCATCATGTCGATCGTTTTTAATATACTAGTCGCTTTTCTATTGAGGTTTCTTGTGTGGAAGCCTCGCCATATTCTTTGAATGCAGATAGCGGCCTTCTCCGTTTGATCTTGATCTGCAAGGAAATATCAATTAAATACAGATAAAATGTTCATTAATACTTATATCCAATATTTTAAAATATTTTAAGCGTCTTACCTTTGTTACTATCCTCTTGTCTTCTCTGAATAGCCCTATTCCGAATGCTATCCAGTTTCGCTTGACACACTTCGCTATCCTCGTCGCTGCTGTGAACTCCAGTGTCGCCGTCCTTCTCATCTTTGTTTAAGTTGCTCTTGAGTCTCTCGTTCGCGCTCTTCGGTCGCTGTACATTCCTAGCTAAATTGGGACTCTTCGTGCTCCTCTTCGCGGGCAGGGTCTTGCTCTGAACGTAATTGTTAATCTTCACGCTGTGTGGACACTTACTGTTAGCGTGCAGCACCGGTTTCGCTATACTCGGCCTCGCGACGCTGCAATTTGTAGCGGAACTACTTTTCACGAGCGCGTTCGCCTTTATACTGCTTAAAATCGTTTTTGCCATTGGATTTACGGTGTTTATGATCGGAATCGCCTTTCCGTCGCCGTCCATGGATGGTTTACTAGGTATGGTGATTTGACACGGGGAGTTTAATTTACTTGACGTGGGAGTCTTCGGTAAAATCCGTGAAAGGCCAGACGGTGGACGAAAGTCTGGGCTCATCAGGGATTCCGGTACCGGTACTAATTTCGTAGCGGCTTGCAGAGGGCTCGATGTCTCTGAACAGAATGTCTTTTAATGTAATCTGATTCCATTTAAACTAATTCAATCAATTTTATAATATATCGCCTTACCTTCCATGTCCTGTAAACTATTGTTTGACGTTTTGTTGTTCAGACCAGAGAGCATATTAGGATCTAAGCTTTGGGTCATCAGAGTCTCGTGTTCGCTTAACAAACCATGACATGAAGAAACCATAGCATCTGTATGACAGCTGGATACCATTCGATCCGGTGATTTCATTTTCACGGCGTTCCTCGAAGAAGCTGGCAAAATATTGTTTGATTGCTATAATCGACGCTTATTCATGCAATAAATCAAATTTCATTATATTTGTAAAATCCACTTGTGTGTTCGGGAAATTTCTGGAGCTAGCATTGCTAGCAAAAGCATGCAAACGATATGTACATAATCTACTAATCGCAATTAAATACTAATTAAAAAAAAGACGTTTCTCCAAATCGCCCTACGCTAATGTGCTAAATCTTCTAAATACAGCGCCTCTGTATTGATATTTTAACTGCTTTCATCGGCCAATGGTCATTTGCACTATAAGCCTAAAGAAGCAATTGCTTAGAAAGTACTAGGCATGAGAGAGCTGTAGGCACATGTGCATGAATCGAGACCAATTGATACTTTCATATTTCAATCGTATTATAAATAATTGAAAAATATTTATTAAATATGAGATATATAGACAAAATAAAGTATAATAAAAATATAAGATTTATGCATACTTAATATTAACGCAATAAACATTAATGTACATAAAATTTATAAAAAAAAATATTTATAATAAAAAATTTATAAAAAAATTATTGGAAATAAACTATAAAAGTCCTATCTGTTCAATTTAATTTGCATTGCTGATTAGAAAGATAACTGTATTAAAATATGTAGAATTCTATTCACAAATTTGAAAAGACGAAAGTGCCCTTTTAGAGATTCTTGCACATTCCTATATCAAAGTATATGTGATTTTCAATATATGATAAATCCTCAATATGACCTTGGATACCTTTGCAAGGAATATGGCAGACACAGTATTTTGCTTCATAAAATTTTGGTGAGTGTAAGTATTTATCTTCATAGTATGTCAACATTGGCACTAGAGAAAACAGATCATAACTAAGGTGTATGTACTGACGAAACTTGACGACTGGACAAATCTAAATCACTACACTAAGTCCACTTGTCGCAACTATCGAGAGTATAAACCTAGTTCTAAGAATCCCCCGAAAAAAAAAAGAATTCATTCCAGAGAGACTTTGGTATGGCACTACGCAAAAACACGGATGGATTTATTTGTGACTCACTAGGTCGTCTGGGTGAATTTGTCCTGTTATTGCTAAGTCTACGTCTAGCGGCTGGGGAGGGACTCATTGCCACGCTACTCAAGCTGTGCACGCTTCCGGTATCGCTCTGCTGATTCAACTGCTGTTGGTGATGTTGAGCTTTGCTCAGTATAAGTCTAAGTTTCCGGTCCGTCTCGTTCTCTAAGGACTCGCCCGAGAGCGGGCAGACAGACGCAAGGTATTGAGCAAGTAAGGCGTGTTCACCAACGCGGAATTGTCTACCTCTTCCCTGAGAATACAGCCACTCCGCTTTCAAGCTAAGTAAAGTGAGTTGTTGCCAATAAGTTTCGATCGAGAGTTCAACGGATTAATTTTCGTAATACAATATCAACTACGTAAGAATGTATTTTTGAGAACACCCACCTTTCAATAGGATCGACCGCATAACCGTCGATTGACTTTAAGCTCATACACCAATTAATAACAAAAGGCCGATAGTCAAAGCCACTATAGACCATTTGTTAAGAATAATATGCTATTGTAACAATGCTACGATTAATGTAAACTAATTTTCTTATGTCTAGTAACCATGAAAGCTATATTTAATTGGCAGAAATTGGCTTATGAGAAGTAAAAAAAGATAAATTACTATAATACCATATTGATAACAATAAAATTCTTTACAGCTATAATCAATGTTGAAAAGTAACATCGAGAAAAAGAGAAAGGGACCCTGCTAATTTCTAGATGGAATAATAACGCGTATGATTTACAAAAAGGATACATACTGTTACCTGTTATACTGACACACGGATTGTTAGCAATCGAGAAATTCACCAGATTTTTTAGATTAGCCAGATGCGACATCTCATTCAAGTCAGTAATATTGTTATTCGCTAATGTGAAAGTTTCCAGGGATGTGGGCAAGTAGCGCTCGCACTGGCGCAGCGTTATTATGCGATTGTTATGCAAAAAGAGTTCCTAAAATGTTATTTATCTTATCAAAAAAATTACCAGTCGTAAATTAATTAAATAAAAACCAGTTAATAAAGCATTTAATTATCATCCCATAACTTTGTGTAAAAATATATTAAATAAACAAATGATGTACCTTCAAACTTCGCAGATAAGATATATCTGAGATATGGCTGATGCTGTTTTCAGACAAGTCCAAATGCTCCAATTTGGTATTCGTGTGTAGATGTTCAATAGACTGCAATGTAACAGGAATACTATAAATACTGCACTGTTGTAATTATATAATGTATTATATAAGGTAACACATATATCGTACCTTGATATTATTACCCGCTAAACAGAGAGTCTGCAAATTAATCATGTCCTTGATACCTTCTATCGTCAGTATACCATTGTTTGCCAAATTGAGGGTAACAAGATTATGTAACTTTGACACGCCGTACATCCGTAGCAATTGATTTCTGATTATCGAAAGCTGAAAGCAATAGAACCGTAGAATGCACATATATATATTTCAACATGACACACTATACTTTCAATGTGTTCAACGTATTCACAAAATAAATGACTTTAAATTTATATAATACTGCAAATTTTATTACTCATTATAATCTTACTAATCCATCTTTTCGTCATCAAAATTTATATAAAAATTATATAAAATCTACATTTTAAATCGCCTTAAAAGGAAAGAGAAACGCAGAAAATGTCAATGAAGATAATTTAGGGAAGGGATCGAGCACAAAGGAAGGTTCGTTACGCTTCGAATTCACGATTTACGCTTTATAATTACAGAAACGGACTAATAATACTTCTCGCTCGAGGCTGTAAGTACTACCTTCGTAATTCTGTGGTAAGAATCCAGATTATCGAGCCGCTGCAAGTCATTGTCGTCTATGATCAACGTGCTAATATCAGCGTCCGAGGGGCACCGGCTGAGCTTCTTGAGGCCCTGGCCGCTCAGGTCGAGCGTGTCGCACACCAGAGATTCTGTAAAAACGAGAAAAAGCAGCCGTCAGTAAGTCGCGGGCACGTCCCGAAAGCCGCTTCGCGACGCATGTAAACAGCGGGCGATGAGCGTGAGAGACGAGAAACACGTTGAGGAGTAAATCTCGCCGGTCAAGCGACAAGCGACCGCGGTCTCGCGAAGCGCGACACCGGACGTCCTCTCGCCCGTGACGCGTTTCGCCCCGTCGACGCGCCGTAAATAAATTAAAACGCGAATCAAGCGGCGATCTCGCGACGATCAACTAACCCGTCGAAGCCATGATGAACACAATAAACTGGCGGAGTCGGCGCGGACGCCGAGATGTCGTCGCGGTCACGATACGAGAATCGATATATGTGAGTTGGATTTTGGAACGAGATGCCTTTATATATATAGAGAGTAAAGGCAGAGAGGGTAAAGGTATACGTATATGTTGTTTGTGCGCAATATATTCTCAATTTTATTAAACCGTGAGAGCTTTTAACTTGGCCGTGTCACGTCTGGCTGTTGCTCGCGAACTGCGGATACATTTAAATTGGCCAACCGTATCTACGTATTTATTTCGTTACGCGTCAACGTATAATTGTCGCGGGGAAAGCTTCGCGGTTGTAATTAAAAGTGGGAAGCGACAGGCGCGTCCGTTCATCGCGCTATTGATTTTCAAATCGCGTGATCGAGAGTGCAATATGGCGTCGCTCTCTCGCGTATTGCGTCTGAAGTTTGGAGCTAGAACAGGTTGGCCAACCTGCCAAAAAAATAGCCGACTAACCTAACGGCTCAACCGACGCGCATGCGCGTGAAAAGCGGCCAGTTACCATCACTGGCATCACTGCGACTAACCTAACCTGACTTTAGACGTTAGGCACAACCCGCACAACCGCCGGGGAGCGCTGACTGAGACCGTCTCTCGATGTTTACTTCGTTGAAATACTTAATACAATTTTATAGAATTCATCGAACTGTCATTCTCGTAGAGAAAACGCAGTGTGCTTAGTTTAGCGCGATCAGGTAAGATTTTCTTTTTTAGTGGAAAATTCAGAGATCTCTTCGTAATATCCGCGGTTTCGACAGTCTTCCCCGACTGTCGAAGCACGTGTCTCGTTGTAGCCGTGTGGCATTCGAACGGGGAGAGCGAGGCGGTGAGATGAGACTGAGGATTCGCTTGATTAACATTTGCATTCGGCACAAGTGCACGGACGCGCAGGACGGCGTTCGAACTCACAAGAAGGTCGTGTGGAAGAAGGTGCGTGTGAAGAACGCCCAGGAGTCAAGTCGAGAGAGTCTAACCTCTAAAGGAGGCAAATCCGCCACGAGCTCTCCTTACTGTTCACCCGTCAATCTCGAGGCGGGCTTCCGCAAGTTACTCACGAAGTCCGATGGAGCGTCGAGTAAGTCGATTGATATGCAGGTATCGAGGAAATCGACGGAGCAGCATGTAAATTCAGGTATAGAGTCTAAAAGCGTAAACTGTCACGATGTAAACACGCCAGCTACCGGATCCGGTCAACAATCACGCGAGACACGAGAATCAAGGGAATCGGAAAATAATACGGATGTTAATTCAAACACGAATTCTTCCGAGGGAGATAATGTCCGAGTTAACGAGATAAATATGCAAATGTTGCCCGAAGCGCTGCACCGACAGTTGTTCAGAAAGAATGACAAAGAAAACTGTCTGTCCGAGGAGGAAGTCAGCGATGTAAAGAAAAATTTAACCACGTACGGCATAAACGTGAAGGATGCCACCAGGTTCGCCGACGTGAAGCTGAAGCTACCGGCTTTGGAAGGAAAAGATATAGAGGAGCATTTTTACAACATTGGAAATGCGCAGGCGAAGCCGTATTTAAAGATCATAAATGATATTATGAAAGATATTCCCGAGATGCCGACGCAGTGGCTGTTCAAGGAAGGCTGGACCAGATACACGGCGGATGGTACAGCAGAGAGCGTAGATCATCCGCTGGAGGATGGTGTGATTTTCGACGTTGAGGTCTGCATGAAGCAGGGCCCGCTGCCCACTCTAGCCACCGCGGTCAGTAACAAAGCCTGGTACGGCTGGGTGTCGAATTCCTTGGCGCAGAGCATCGGCCGAACGTACGACACGCAGTTACTCACGCCGAACGTCCTCATTCCTATGGAGAGCGGCAAGGAGGAGCATGGCTACAGACTGAGTCAGCATCAGAAGAAGCCAAAAATTGTCGTGGGTCACAACGTGTCGTACGACCGAAGTAGAATTAAGGAGCAGTATTGGTTGAACTGCACGGGCACTCGTTTCCTCGACACCATGTCGTTGCACGTGTGCGTCAGCGGTCTCAACAGCTACCAAAGATCGCTGTTATTGTCTAAGAAGGCGAACGCGGAGAAGGAGATCTGGCAGTCCACCACTTCATTGAACAGCTTGGTGGAGGTGCACAAGCTGTACTGCGGCCACGAGATAAGCAAGGACGCGAGAGATTTATTCGTCGAAGGGACTATTGAGGATATCAAAGACAATTTCAACATGCTGATGTCTTACTGCGCCTCCGACGCGGTTGCTACGCACAATATACTACGCAATCTGTTCCCGCTCTTTCAAGAGAGATTCCCTCATCCGGTCACTCTGGCCGGGATGCTGGAACTCGGCTCGGCGTACCTGCCGGTGAATTCCAATTGGCAGAGATACTTGGAGGAATCGGAGTCGACGTTCGACGATTTGAACTACGAGGCGAAGGTCACTCTCGCCAAGAGAGCCGACGCTGTTTGCCACCTCATGCACGACGAGAAGTACAAGCAGGACTTGTGGATGTGGGACCAAGACTGGAGCACGCGGACAATTAAGATGAAAAGCAAAGTGTCGAAAGTGAAAGCTGCTAGCGTAGAGACAAATATAGTACAAAAAGAGTCAGACGCTAAGTACTTATCGGATGACGAGGAAGAGGAGGAGAATCCTTTGGCGAAGGAATTTGCGTATCTGGAGGAAACCAGGCATTTATTACCAGCTAGAATGCCGCACATGCCGGGATATCCGGCGTGGTACAGGAAACTCTGTCCCAAGGAGAGAGACGAAGACTGGGCACCAGGTCCGCAAAATATCAGCACTTCCATGCAGGTGGTTCCGAAGCTGCTGAATCTGACATGGGAGAAGTATCCGTTGCATCATATAAAGGAGCACGGCTGGGGAATTCTAGTGCCGTACAACAACGATCCCGACATCGAGAGCAATCTGCCGTTGAAGAATCTTTTGGCCCAGTGTCCTCTGCCAGCGTCCAACTCGTCCAGGGACATTTCTGACGACGCAATGGCCACTTTGAGCACCGACGTGCAGAACGATCTTCACAAGACGGAATTCTGGCGATTCAAGAAGAAGCAGCGGGACGAGTCGTACGACGAAACGTACAAGGGCACCGGCGTGTGGTGTAACGTCGACATCGACAACTGCTGCTACTTCTTCAAGCTGCCGCATAAGGACGGCACCAATTATAACGTCGGGAATCCGCTCGCCAAGGACTTCCTCAACAAGTTCTCCGAGAACGTACTCGCCGGCTTGGACGTCAGCGCCGCGGAGGTGCTGAAGATCGCCCGTATGCTGTCCTACTGGCGGAACAATCGCGACAGGATCATGTCGCAGCTGGTGATATGGCTGGACGAACACTGCCTACCCGGCAGCGTCAAGAGAACGAAGCGACACACGCGTTACGGCGCGATAGTACCTCAGGTGGTCGTGTCCGGTACTTTGACGCGTCGCGCCGTAGAGCCCACGTGGATGACGGCGTCGAACGCGCATCCCGAACGAGTCGGTTCCGAGCTCAGATGCATGGTGCAGGCGCCACCGGGCTACAACATCGTCGGCGCCGACGTGGACAGCCAGGAGTTGTGGATCGCCTCGATCATCGGAGACGCGCACTACAAGCGCGTCCACGGAGCGACACCTTTCGGCTGGATGACCCTGATCGGCACCAAGTCCAACGGCACCGACATGCACAGCGTCACCGCCAAGGCCATCGGCATCTCGCGCGACCACGCCAAGGTCATTAACTACGCTCGAATCTACGGCGCCGGCCAGAAGTTCGCCGAACGCTTGCTGAAGCAGTTCAATCCGTCGATGACGGACACCGAGGCCACTTCTAAATCACGCAAGATGTTTGCCCTTACAAAGGGTAGGAAGACATTTCGATTGAAGACTGAATTTGTCAACGATGACATGCAGAATATTCCCTACACATCCTTTCAGGCATACAAGATAGCGAAGTTGCACGGCAAGGCGTTGCAGGACATCTTCCTGAAGAGTGAGTGGCTGGGCGGCTCGGAATCAGCCATGTTCAACCGACTGGAACAGATCGCCGGCAGTGAGCGTCCAGTCACGCCGTTCCTCAACGCCAGATTGAGCCGCGCCCTGGAGATCACCAACACCGACGATGACGACAAGTTCCTGCCCACCAAGATTAATTGGGTGGTGCAGAGCGGCGCGGTAGACTTCCTTCATCTGATGCTGGTCTCCATGAGATGGCTGATGAGAGATAACGCTAGATTCTGCCTGTCGTTTCACGACGAAGTGAGATATCTGGTCCCGTCCAGATACAAGTACAACGCTGCGCTGGCCATGCACGTGACCAACCTGATGACGAGGTCGTTCTGCGCTTCTAGACTAGGCATGAGAGATCTGCCGATGTCGGTGGCGTTCTTCGCCGCCGTGGAGGTCGACACCGTCCTTCGCAAAGAGTCCGCTCACGATTGCAAAACCCCGTCGAATCCTCACGGCTTGCAGAACGGATACGAGATACCGCCCGGCGAGAGTTTAGACGTCTGGACCGCCTTGGAGAAATCCGGCGGCTCGCTAGGCTATTGGCACGATGCGAAAAGTCGCAAAGTTAAAACAGACGATGAAAAGTAACTGCGGTTACTTAAAGTCGCCAAAATGCTACTTAAACGAAAATTATTAAACTATTTTTATATTGCTATTTTCGGAAACGCTTTTTGTCTGATAATAAAGGAAAATCAATGGAGAGAGAGAATAAGAGTCACGGTATTTTTTAAATTTAGTTTTGTAGATCACGATGTCGTCTGCAGTAACAAAGCGTAAATACGTATTCCAAGAGCTCGGCGACATGAGTCTTCCTACGGATTCGCAAAGTATCGTACGAATTGTCCAGGCGCGCGGGCACAATCTTCACGAAGTCGTCACCCCCACCGGAGAACGGTTCATCGTCTCGATGCCCACCAAGTTCAGGCAAAACATCTGGGTGAAGAGGGGTGATTACATTGTTATCGTGCCAATCGAGGAAGGCAAGAAAGTCAAGGGCGAAATTGTTAAGATACTCACAAAGGTATTTACACACAATCTTACAGATATTTGTATTTAGTAAATCTTTTTTTTTTTTTGTTTCTTCTGCTTTTCTCGCAAGAATTCTCAAATTTAAATATCGAAACTTAATTACAAAAAATAATAAAGATTTAAATTAATTTTGCAAGCGTTTTAGACTACTTTTATCTTTTATTGTAATATCTTTTTTTGTTCCTTCTGCTTTTCTTGCAGAAATTCTCATATTTAAATATCGAAACATAATTATGGGAAATAATAATTTAAATTAATTTTGCAAGTGTTAAAAAGGCTACTTTTATCTTTTATTAATGTATGTATGAATGTGTGCATTTTCAGGATCACATAAAATGGTATCGTGAACAGAATTGTTGGCCGCCGGAATTCGATGAGGATCCAAAGAGGAACGGGCATTCGATAGCGACGAATTACACTACGTGCGATGACGAGGAGCTTTTCGTAAATACGAATAGGTGCCCCACTAATCAGATAGACGACAGTGAAAGTGATTCAGATTGTGAATCAGATTCTCATTAACTCAAAACTTTCCTTTTTGCATACGATGCAAAAGTGTACATACATAATTTTGTATCTGTAAATTAAGAAGCAAGTTTTTCTTATTACCTTTATGTACCTAGGTTAAATAAAGTATTTTTTTGCATATAACATCGAGCTGTGTCCTCTATGTCCGAATTATTGTAAAATTTGATTTAAACTTTGTGGAAAAAACTTGAGACTTCTTTTCAACTTACAATACATTCTCTATATTCTTTAAATAAATCTATTGTAATAATTTAAATATTTATTTCACTCCTCCATTATTTCCTGTAGCTAATAAAATTCGTTTATATTATTATTTTCAATCAAAGTGGCTTAATGCTTTATGAGCTCTTAAAGCTGCTTACTTCCTCGCCAAGAAGATTATTCGATTGCCATCTCAACGAATTCACGAAGAGAAAATTGAAGTCGAAGAGGTAAGTTACTAGTCCCAGAGGAAATCTGAAAAATCTAAAGTGCACTCGTATGCTTGACCCAGTTTTTTTTTTAATCCCTTATCGGATGTACATAATTGATATTGTCCTGGCGACGGTTCGTATCCTCGCAGTAAACTTACAAATTGCTAAATTCGATTTCCGTAATTTCAGAAAAGTTACACCACGCTTCTTTTTATCGCTTTTTTTCTATCAGAAGTTTCGACGGAATAACATGTTTACTTTAGCTGAACTTGCGATACCGTTATTTATCTACATATTTGTGTGGGGAAAATAATAAGTTATCCCCTTAATAATGAAGAATTGCCTCCGTGATTTTTCTTGTACGAGAAGATTTATGGAAATCTTTAAACAAATAAACAGTAAAATATTCTGATAGAGACTGCAATGATTATATGTGAAATTAAGTTTCGAAATTAGGAACTGTTTACGAGATCAATTCCTACTGTATTTTCTCTGCAAAGGATAATTCTTTTTGCAACACAATTTAGACTAATTTACTTAAATTTTATAAACGTTAATTATATAACAATCTAAAATTCTAAAATATTCAGTTTTACTTTGTTCATTTCCTACAAATTGAAAACAATCGAACATGTAGAAGAATTTCAAATTGAACAACGATAATGTATAAATCAAATTAATAATGGATTCCTGTGGGTATATTTTTAGAGATTTCGCAGATTTTCAATGAAGACTACATGTTCAAAACTTTTCAAGGATGCGACGAAATGGAATAGAATCATTGATAAAACTCCGCTGATTCTTTCTGTTTGAAATGATGCTCTTTTCTCCATTCTTCGAGAACACCTCCGCAGAATAATACGAGAGAATCTTTTTTATTTTCCATTTACTTTCAGGAGAAGAAAATGTACACAATATTGAATGTAAAATATATACAACTGTCCCATTTGCGGCGTGCAAAGAAGTTGCGTTACGCATTATAAAGACGTTAGTGACGTTAGCAAAAACGATTTATTTGGACTTAAGAAGTCACTTTTGCACAGATAAGGGATGATTTACTGGCTTTAGCTCGACTTTTGACGTGAGCAAACGCAAAGTGGAAAGGGAGAAATACTGAACACGTAAGTAGAATGAAAGATGAAGTCGATTTCTGAATCCTAATATGAAGAAAAAATTTAATAAAAGAAAATCGCGACGGGCCAAGTTGTTACAAATAATATTTATTATTTCAACATACTAGAATACTATAAAAATGGAATATCAAAGTTTGTAAATTTTTGTAAAACTTTTTAATTTTTAAATCGTTAAATTTTAATTAAATTTAATTATTTTAAAATTTGAAATTAATAATTAAATAATAATAATAATAAATAATTATTAATAATAATTAAATTAAATTAAAAATTTTTAAAGTTAAATTAAATTCTAAAAAGTTTTTCATTTTTAACTTCAAAATTCTTAAATTTTAATTTTAATTTTTAAATTTAACTTAAAATTTTATAATTCAAAATTATAAAACTTTGATAATCTTTAATTCTTTAATTTTTAAAATTTAGTTTCTAAATTTTAAGTGACATATGTCGAGATTACAAAAAAAGGCAAAATCAGATGTGATGCTTTTTTAAAAGAGTAGATTAAGTTAATTTTTTGTACATTAAATAATTTTTCATAACGTGTATATTGATTTTATCATTCTTTGATTTTTTCTTTTTTGTTAAATTGAAAAAAAGATATATCACATGCTTTATGTCGGAAATCATAGTCGCACGGTTTAACCAAAATTTTTTTCAATGTATTTTCAACGTTAAAAAAACACATGTTACAGACATCACGTAAACGTTGTCACAGTAGCTGAACATTCGTTGTAAAAATTTATTTTATGACAAGCATCAAATTAGTTTTAAGTATATTTCTTTTAAACAAAATATGTTATATATTCTTTATAATATTTGTTATTATAAATTCATTACATTTTCAAATTAATATCGCGCAATATAGATATAGATATATATAATTCAACTCGTTAATCATGTTGATAACGATCTCTTACACAGAATTATCAGAAGAAAAAGATCGTCAGGAGCATTATAAAAACTTAAGTGAGAAGTTAAATCATCCGTCTTCACTACGTCACGTTCGGGAGATTTATCAAAACGTGATCTAAGATGCTTATATTACATTCAAAACTTTAAAGTGAGTTTAAAAAAATTTTGTACAAATACACTTTTTTAATAACTTCTCCAAGAAGATTCCAAAAATTAATGTCGAAACGATGACGAGAGAAATGTGATTTTAAGAAAAAATGTTCCTCGTAAGAAAAATAACTCTTATTAAATTCGCGTCTCTGCGGAGTAAATTGTCTCTTGAAATTTTCATCTTTGTCTCAATAGAAACTTCTTGAATCTTCTTAAAAGAAACTTCGTCTGAACTTCGGAACAATCGTTACCGAACGTTAAAGCGGTCAGCGACGTGAGATTTTCAGCGAAGTTCTAACGATTCTCGGAAAGAGATCTGTGATGAATCTCTAATTCCATTGCTACGCCGAAGGAAATTCGCTATCAGCGATGGAGCAGTCGACAAGTGGTGGTATCATCGAGATCATCGCGTTCAGTTCGTACTCAGCGACGTTCAATCGCGAATGACGACCCAACATCTTTCTCGTCGCGATGAACGTCTAATTGCCGCGGTGTGGTCTCGGATCGACAGAGTCAATTGACGAGTCAAAACAACCAATCGGTGACCTTGCATAAGGTCTCCGACGAAGACATATGTGTTTCACTTAAAATTACAAACATTCCGTGTGCTCTTCGCGTCGACGTTATTCCGACGTCTCGCGAGCGCTAAATGTTGTAAACAGCGTATCAGCGGCTTTCAGCGCGAGCCGGCAAGCTTCGTAATTTCGTTTATATCGCGATTGAAAGTGGAACTCGATCACCGCGATATTGCAGGCTTCCCCGGTTATATTGCGGTTTCATCGTTGTGGAAATTCGAGTACGTGAAAATAGAAAAAAAAATTGAAAACGCAAAAACAAAAAACAAAAGTGGAAACTGTAGCGATGTGCGACAATTGTGTTGTGATATTCGTGATCGCGGATTGTAACGCATAAATATTCAAACGGCAATCTAAAAGCGTGATATTAACTCTTTGAGTACGAATATAATTACAATCTAATTTCAATTAAATTATAATTATCATTCTCGCTTGGCAGCGAAACTCTGAGTGTGAAACGATTGCTCGCAGCGCGAAACGGATGTGAAAGCAAGAAGCGTTTATTTTTGTCAAACAGCAATAAACGCATTTACGCTTTTTATACGTTTTTACACGATCTGCCATTTCGCGAGATTGTCCTCGAAGGGCTGATACGAATATCGCAATTCGAAATGGAATCGCTCTCGGCAGCCTCGGAGTCCGGTTGTAAAAGTTAAAGAGTTACTATTATCCTGTCCACTTCGCGTTAGTTTCCTTCCATTGTACCGGAAGAATACCGAGAAGAAGACAACACCGCAAGTGAGTGACCCATTAATAATCGACGGTAGAAGATTTACTGGGTTATCGAGGCCCGACGAGTTTCTTTGTTTGCGTGCGCGATACGGAGACGGCGATATATCAGAATGTGCATACGCGCGAAGGTGTCGTCACGATGAGTCGAATCGGCCTGTGACATCCTGCCGAGAGGGGTGTACCGAGCCATGGGGACGTCGAGCCAGGACGAGAACGACACGCTCGATTTCTGGCGGGACTGGGATCTGAGCGAGCTGACCGAGGCCGAGTACCTGGGCAAAGTGCTGGGGCCCAAGTACCTGTCCCTCAACCTGGTGATACCGCTCACGATCGCCTACGTGGTGATCTTCATCACCGGCATCTTCGGCAATGTCGCCACGTGCACGGTCATCGTCCGGAACTCGTCCATGCAGACCGCCACCAATTACTACCTCTTCAGTCTGGCCATATCCGACCTCACTCTGCTTATACTGGGTGAGTGAACAAAGGCAAACGGGATGCAATCGCTTCACGAGATTGCCTTTGCATTTACTTTCATGAACTAATATTTCACATGTTTAGATCATAATTGTTTCTCGCAATTAAGTCTCTTCTTTCACGTTCGTTCACCCACCAGTAAGAGGAGAAGTCACGTCTTAGTTTTGATCTTGTAGGATCTAATGACTATAATTGACGATAAATAAAAACTGTTGATGTAACTGTTAACACACAATTTAAACGAGATGAAATACTCAATTTTAAATGAAGAAACCGAATTTACTTTTATGCAAAAGTGCAAAAGAATATTTTAGTAACAAAGGTAGATCGGATGTATAACAGACCTAACATTCTTGGAAGGTTAATACTTAATGCAGAATCTATCTTTAAACAACTTGAATTCTAATGGTAGTAAAATGAAAGGCGTTCGCAGACGATTTTAATAATAAATATCCCCCTATGATGTAAAATAAAAGAAGCAAGAATATTTGACTGGGTACTACACGCTTGTTGAAATTTAAATAAAATACGAGCCTTAGGTACAGTCTAAACTTACAAGCGAAATCTTTGCCTTGATCTGAAATTTCTTTCCCATTTATTCTCGAGAAACAGCATAAAGGATGTAAATGTAAAATTTAACGGAATGCGATCCAAGTTATTTTGCGCTTACATCGCGCGACTTCCAAACGTTCTTTATTCGTGTTTCGCATATGTTCCTTTATCTCGCGCTACATGCGAATTTTATACGCGTAATATAACGCAAATTACATATTATATCCGCGAGCGGAAAGTTTGCCCCCCCTCCTTATCAGCACGGAGGATGTAAATGTAAGATTTAACGGGATGCGGTCTATGCTTATATTTTGCGTTTACATCGCGCGACTTTCAAAAACGTTCTTTGTTCGTGTTTCGCACATGCTTGTTTATCTCGCGCTACGTGCGAATTTTATGCGCGTAATGCAACGCGAATTACATATATATCCGCGAGCGGAAAGTTCGTCCCCCTTATCGCTCTCGTTTCAATCGGGGATCGATACAAAGCAACGTTCGATGACCGAATCGCGCCTCTGGCTGGAAAATCAACGGGCTCGTTAACTGCCGATGGCACTTCGCTCGAACTGATAATGCGATTTTGATAATTGGTAAAGCGATTGATAACGATAGCTGGCTCGGCTAAATCGTTTCTCGTTTTGGATATAACGCGGAATAATAGATATGTTGCGGTGCCGATTTGGCCGAGAATCTGTTTGCAAAATGTATAAATTTCGCCGGACTATTCCGGATCTGTGCGCGAATAAGGCGTAAAAAGACCTCATTGATTAATGATCAACGAGGTCGAATTCTCGTCGAAGGAACAAATTGGTTCGGATTTAAAGCCGATAGAGCGACGGCCACCAATCCCTTTAGCGCGATGACAAATTGAACTGAGAATTCTTAGCATATCTCGCGTATTTCCTTGCGCTTTTTTCCCAACAGTTTACTTTTCACGTAGCTTTAACGAATGATAACGGATATTAACGATCGTGGCGTTTCGAGAGTATTACATTTTCGTCACACAATTCCAAGAAACGACTTATTAGATAAATACAAGCATTCCATTAATTAAAACGGGAAAACGATTGTAACTAAAAATGCTTCAACGATGCAAAAATGCTGAAATTAAAATTGTTTTCATTAAATACAGTCAATATATTCAGTCGCTAATGCATTTCGCTAATGTATTTTCGTATTTAAGTAATTTGTGGCTTTGATTAAATTTAACAGTATCATTAGTAACGTTTGACAACGATGCGAGCGTTTCAAAGCGCGACGCAGGCGATCTTTCATCGGGATAAATAAAATCAATTATTGTATGTTATCTGTCATTATCGCGATCGCGTGCACACACACACACACACACACATACACACACGCACACGCATGCATACACACAGAGCGACTTGACACTCTCCCCTGCCTTCCTAGGCATTGACGCACGTAGATAAAAGCAAAATTAATCTTCATTTTATGTGTACAATCGCGATTGTTATCTGCACGGTGGTCTGTTTGCCGACGGTAACAACGGCATTCAGTGTTTACGTCATTGTGAAGAATTTCGCGAAACTTGGACATGATAACAATTTTACACGTCTGAGAGATCTGAGAAACGAGCTATTCTTGCCGCTATTTTAATATGCGCGAACGCGAGGGAAGTCAATGCTCGTGTCGCATGTATGTATATATATGAAATAAGTTGAATAGCATCTTTGAATAATACCTGAATAGCATTTGATATGCTAAATAAGGATATCAAGTGAAGATCCAAATTTTTTAGTGCGGAAACAGATAGATAAATGTGATATTTGGGCTTTGTAAATAAATTAAAATTGGCGCGCTCGTCGAGCTTAAAACAGAAATTCTCTATAGAAAAAAAAATATCGCGAAAAGTCAGCGAGAGATGTGTGCAAACTATTCAAACATACCGATCGGAATCAGAGAGAGGGATGCGCCACTCACGGAGGATTTAATTATAAATCAGTTGTCGGTTCTCTGGTGTGAAAGAGGGAGAGCGAGGGAGAGAGAAAACGAGAGAAATTGAAACAATCGCGTGGCGCGCATCCGTAGAGCTGACGAGTAAAACAGCGGTTTTGCAACGCAATAAAAGGTTTCGCGCTTCGTCAGGTTGACGAATATTATCGTGTAAAGCGGGCGTCGCTTTTAAAAAATGTTAAACACAATAGGGACGACCGAAGGGCTTCCACTCGAGAAGGCTATTCACGATACGTTCACGCCTAACTTTCAGCAGCAGGAATCGGACCTTACGAGGGTTTCGGCGTCCATTATAAAAGCTTTATAAAAAAAGACTACATATATGTTATACGTGAAGGACTACATATATTGGGCGCCTACCGAATAGCTTTTATGCTTTGGCAGATGACTAGAAAAGTACAAAATCCGATATATCGCGATATACATATAACAAAAAAAAAATGCGAAAAAAAAGGAAAACGCACTTTTAATGTTATTAATAATGTGCTTGCTTTCTAATTAACTTCTAACGGACCCTGTAAGATGTTATAGTATTTCTGACGTTTTCGTTTAAAATTTTCATTTCTATTAAATTATTGTTAGTAAAATCATCTTTTTAGTGTCACGTGCAAAAAATCACCATTTAAGAAAATTAATGCAAATTGAAATGTAAATGTGATTGCAATTAAAACATTAATTTATGATAATAGAATTGTTCACTGCTCCCTTTCTATCTCTTTCACCTTCCAGTCTTTCTCTACTTTTATTTCCATTATCTTACGCACGTATATATAAATTCTATTTATTCGTGAGAGCTAAAATATTCATTAGAATTTCTAAATAAAATTATAATTTACATTGTAAAATAGTTCAAATCAAAGTATAGGAACAGTAAAAAAAGCATAAAAGAGGAAAAAAGAAGGAAAGTGGTAAAAAGTTGAAAGTTTTGTACTTTTAGCAGTAGGAAAAAACATGGTGTTCCATTAACGAGCATACCGCAGAATAAAGATATTTAACTACGCCGAAGACATACATCATCATCTTGTTGTGTCGCATAATATATTCATTAATTAAAACGTCAACATTATTTGAATGGTGCTTATTGAGTTTATTCGCAACGATACGCGGTGAACGTTTAGCTCGTTTCCACAGCGAGGGTAAAATTTATACGTGAAAGTTATTTTAATTTGCGCGGGAGAGAGACACGCGCGCGGGCAACCTTGTTAATATTGTCATGATGCGGAGTGATGCCTCTTCACGCTAATTACCAGTCGAGCTTAAGTCAGTCGTAAACTTGCTTTTCGGAAAATTAATTTGCGCCCACACAAAAGGAGGAGAGGAGGAAGGAGGATAGGCAAGCGTGTTATCCGAGAGAGCATGTCGCACGAAACTTTGATGCCGACGTATATTAAAGTAATTGAAAATGTGAAGAGCTTACAGCAAAAAGCTGACCGGTTCCAAATTTTGCGACAAAGAACAGCTAAAAGTGGCAGCACTATTCTTATAATTTTCTTGCCCGTAACGAAAAATACATTTAATTGTGTGTGTGTGTGTGTGTGTGTACGCGCAAATTTAATTAAAGACACTGTAAAACATTCCATAGATTAATCATTTTCTTTTTACATTTTACGGACTTTTTGGCAATTTTCATTTTGCCTTGTCGAAAATTTAACGCAAAGACCGTATAACGTTGTCAAAATAACATTTTAATCAAATTAATCCATAATTAATTATTCTAGGTCTCCCCAATGAGCTAAGTGTGTTCTGGCAGCAATATCCCTGGGAGCTGGGCACCGGGCTTTGCAAAATTCGGGCGTACGTGTCAGAAATGTAAGAAATATCTCGTCCGATCCTTTACATTCCGCGAAGATATCAGGACATGCTCCTCCTAAATCCGGGCACTTTTCACAGGTCGTCCTACGTGTCGGTCCTCACGATCGTGGCGTTCTCCATGGAAAGGTATTTGGCCATCTGCCATCCGTTGCGCGTCTATTCGATGAGCGGTCTCAAAAGACCGATACGTTTTATCCTTGCAGCCTGGTCGATTGCAATCGTCTCGGCCATACCGTTCGCGATTTATACCAAGGTCAATTTCGTCGAATATCCGCCAGGTTAAGCCGACACATTAATTTCCTTGCGATTATCGTAAATTAATATCCGATAATTAATTTATTCAAATCGTCTAGCCTTTAATTACATGATATTTTGTAATCTCAAATTTAAATCTTTTATTAAGAGCTTGCTTTGTATCGGCCATTAAATTTCTTCCTTAAAATTTTCTCTTGTATGCAACAAGTCCAAAATATTCAAAATTTAGAAAGCGCTCTTGAATTTGTGTTATTTAAAATTTAATTTCCGGATATATTCAAAATCTGACTATTTAAATTATAAACTATAGTTTCAATACACAAAATTTATTTAACGTAACTACATGATCTACGTTAAAACGTCAAGTGCTCTTTTCAGGATCGGGAAATTACTCGGCTGATTCGGCGATTTGCGCGATGCTTCTGCCCGAGATGCCAAAATTACCTCTCTATGAGCTCAGTTGCATCGTATTTTTTCTGATGCCAATGCTCGTGATCCTCGTGGTATACACGCGGATGGGATTGAAGATCAAGAGCAGCACCAGGGAAACACTTGGCCCGATACAAGCCTCCTTCGTTCATGGCGATCATCGACAAGTTCAATCCAGAAAGTCTGTCATTAGGATGTTAAGTACGAGAATCACGATGTTTATTCGCCCGATGTTTATAATAATTTAAATCGTAGCAATAATTGTAAAATTGGCAAGTAGCCAAATGTAATTGTAATCGTAATTTAATTATGTCGATGTTAATTCGATCGCACATACTGCTTTCTCTCTTTTACTTTCAACATTAAAAATCTCGGTAATCAAACCTTAAGTCTCAAAATGCTCTGCGTGATTTATTTCAGGCGCCGTCGTTATCATGTTCTTCCTCTGCTGGGCTCCGTTTCACGCCCAGCGTTTGCTTTACATCTACGCACAGGATTCCGATTATTACCCGGACTTAAACGAATGGCTCTACATTCTGAGCGGCTGCCTGTATTACTTCAGCACCACCGTCAATCCGATTCTCTATAATTTGATGAGCATCAAATACCGCCAGGCATTCAAACGAACAATATGCTGCGGAACGAGAGGAACGGCGAGCAAAATTTCGACGGCTAAGAAATCACATCCACGCAGATGCGATTCCTCATATGAGCCTGATCACAATGTTATATGCTCTGTTAGGTAAGGAAAGTTCGAAATTTTTCATACTGCAAAGATTTGAAGTTCGAATCATCTGCGGGAAAATCATATAATATTTTATAAGTTCTACATAATAACTATCGGTATATAAGATAAATATTTTAATATTAGATATAATTATTATTATTATTATTATTATATATAATCATTTTATATTTCATAAGTCTCTCAAAGCATTGATCTTTTTTTCAGTCAGACGCTACATATAATTACACTCCAATAATTGTACATCTCTTCTTTAGGCATACGATTGTTCAAGCCAAAGAGATATTTTGTTTTACATCGAGCCGACAGGAAAATATCAAGGATAGCAGCAGTAATAATGGAAATGCAAGCAATTTTCCTCAAAATGCTTACTCGTTACAAAAAGAAGACTCATCCTCGACGTTTCTCTTTGAACGAGGCCATCTACTCGCTCGCCAGCAGCCTAGCAACGAAAGCACGTCCACGAAAAGATCGGAAGATACCATTTCCGTAGCTAAAAGCAGTCTGTGATCTAATTTCACTCGCTTCCATTTAGGTATACAATTATAATGCGCGTCGCTGTAAATATAAAACTAGACAGTGCGAATTATCGATTATAAAGCGAGAGATTCTACTATATTGTAAATAGGTAGATAGCCCAAATTGTTGTTTTTTTTTATCGATTATAATAACGCGGCAAAATTTATTTTATACTATTTATTTCAGAATAAAGTTTTACACATATTATGCCTGATATTTATTTTATGCGTTTGTGAATTTATGCAATTTTAGACGGCAAATGTTTGAAATCGCGGGACGCACGCGAGAATAATAATTTTCGTCAAAATGCTGATACGATTATTTCCATACAAATCGTGAGATACGCTTTATCAGCGAGCTATACTTTAATAAAGATAAATTTACAATAATAATGGTTCAAATAAGTTTTAATTTTTAATAAAAATCATTGCAAAACTTTAAAACACGTTTCAGCTTTCAACAACGATATTATCAGCCGGTTTCCCAATCGGGTAATTTTCGATATGTAACATACACCTTTTTTGCACAAATAAAACGTTATACGTTATTAACAATTATTATTCTTTTATTATCCTATACAAAATAGAATATTCCATTATATAAAACTTTTCTGTATTTTGTCCACTATCTCGCTTTACGCTTAATTGTCCAAATTTTGCATTACAAGTAAACGTATACTCAAGCATTAACGATAATTTTCCTGCACTATGTTCAAGTATTTAGACATAGCTCATTCGTTTATTTCAATTTAAATGAGATGCGTATTACATGCATAACGTGCATACACCCTCTTCACCTCTCGACGTCAATGAGAACCGAGGGAATATTTAGTGCCGTGCAATTATTTACACGTCCGTAGCTTTAAAGTCGCATAAACGAAGTCGTAAATGATTTTTTACTAAATAAAGCAATTTAATATATGAGAAACCGGTATAATCTGTACATTCATTTCACTCACGTTCAAAAGACAGTCTCTCAAAGGTAATTCGTGCAGAAATTTTTAATGCTTTTCCAAAAAATCGTCTACTGATTGTGAATTAAATTTCTAAAATTGCGAGACATCCCCATTTGAAAAAAAATTTGATTTAACTAGATTCATAATATCATAATATCACGAAACATTAAACGAATGAAATAATTTGACAATGTGCATTATAGAATCGATCGAAATCTCAGAAATTCTTGTATATAGAATTAAAATCAGAAGCTTCCTAGAATGAAAACCTAGATTTTCACGGAAAAATACACATTTCCCTTAATAGTATAAAAAAAAGACATTCTAAGAAAAATATGTTAACGCCGCATGTATAAAGTAGTAATTTTAGCCTATATTATAAAATGTAACGTTTATCTTTGTCACCGCACTAAGTTTCTATATATAGATTAATTTCTGTCTTTGAAGTCGGAAAGGATTGGATCGATCAGTTTCCTGCACTTCTCGACGAAACCTCCAATAAATTTTCATTTACTGCAACCGTCAGCTATATTTTACAACTGTTAATCGCGCGCGCGGTTACAGACGATAGAGAAGTCTCTCTACAGTCCGTCTTCCCAGTAGCAAGTCTGCACTAACGCGTTAATTATAAATAAAGTGTACACGTGGTATTTCGTTGTTCATGTAATTTTAGCCAATATTGAATCGGTTTTTGCTTTATCGAAAACTCAATGGGACGTAGAATCTTTCTAAACTCTCAATTTTAAACGTTTCTCGCGTCAAATCTTAAATTAAACTTTTACAAAAGCAAAAAATTCTTATAATACCACTTTTAACAGTGTCTCCACATCTGCTGGAAAGATGTGTGGGAGTGGTTTTATTAAATTTCGTGTAAAGATCGAAACACCGAAGATACACACTTTTAGCATTGGAGCGCCAAGAGCTTTCTTGCACTATAAAAGCAAAAATAACTTACACGCCATGATTGTTTGTGTTCTCGATAAAATAAATAATTAAGTTATACAGAGTAAATATAGCATAGTACTTTCCAATTAAATTACAAAAGTTTAAAAGGAAAGTATATCAAAACTTTGAAAAGGATTTCTTCGACAAAGAACACGCGCATGCATTGTGATTTCACATAATTATTTCATGCACTAGTGAACATTTCATGATATCTTCGTTTAAATAAAGATTAAGAAAACTCTTAATAAATGTTTTTAAATTCACTTTCAAAAGTGCCGAAAGAAAAAATGTACGAAAAATCCATTTAAAAAATTAGTTCAAAATTTGCTAATTTCGAGTAAATTTTTCGCACAGCTGCAAGATTTAATTCATTGAACCGTTAAACAACACGATAATAAAAATATCAAATTGTATACACATACAATTGTTCTCAATTACTATCGCCAATACTTGTTCAATCACAGGATTTGAGCTATCATGTCAAGATGAAGATTATTTTTCGTGATGCTGACAGCATCCTCTGCATCTGACATTTAAATACAAATCATGTTTTATGCATGTATTCCCATGTATTCCCACAAAGAAACACGCCGAATTGGCAAAGTTTCAAAAGCACCAAAATTAGAGATATTACGACCGAGGAACATGCTAACGTTTCGTAAACGTTCGATGAAGATTTATCTCGAAGTTCGACTCTAAGAGTTACAAACAAGTTTCGTGTGTTTGTACGTAAAACTTTCACTGACTCTAGCGAATTCGGTTAAATGCAAATTTAAACCTGCTAAACTTGTTACGAAAGTTGTTACTGAAATATTTTATGGATTAAGAAATTTGGAGATTTTACCGTAAAAATGTAAAAATACCTAAGAAATAATAATAAAGAACATGACAAAATGCTAATATAACTTCTACGTGTTTAACTTTTACATCTGGTAGAAGCCGCAGAGCTCATTTATTCCATAGGTATGTTTATCGAGTGTTCAGGTGTTGTTTCCCTGATTGGATTGTCACATAAATATGTATACAATGTTGCAAGAGGCCTATTTACATTATCCTATTTACATTATAGACTAAAGGAAAATCAATCAACATGTTTTGGACCCGAAAATGAGATTAAAGTTGCACCGTGGAAATTCAGTTCTTCGTATGTATTCTAAATAAATCCATAATTTCTTTCATGGGAGAAATTAATTTTATTTTTAAAAAGACTTGTTTTTACGAATTATTTTTAAATTATTTTATAATACATAAATTTTTTATAAAATCATTATTAACTTCTTTCTTATAACCAGTAAATAAAAAAAGAGAAAGTTCAAAATAATAAAAAAATTTTTAATTATATGACGTATATTATATGAAGTAATATAATTAATATAAACACTTAATTGTTTATATTAATTATATTCATTATATTAATTAAAAAGATTAATTATATTAATTATCTTACTTCATACTTATTTAATTAAATATATTAATTATATTACTTCATTTGATAAAATTTCGTAAATGAAGAAGAAGATACGCGAGTCACGTTATTTTGTATCATTTTTTGTTATTAGTAATAAACAGAGCAAAGTGTTGAATTATTCTGCGAAATAACGTATATTTCTTGATTTTTGCGTTATAAAATGTCTTGTGTTAATTTTTTAAACAATTTATAACTGTACGTTGGATGACGATATTTAACGCAACGTGACAAAACGCTTACTCTCACGTATCTGATAAATAATGTGGCGCAATTACGGCAGCGGTAATGTTTGCCGCTTGCAGTTCTGCGAATATTTTGTATACGTTAGATAGAATAAGCAAAACATTACTGCGCAAATACCACAAACGCGAAGGATACGGGGTCGCGGAATTGCCGCGAATAAAATAAGAGAGTATTTTTCGACGTGTAACGTCTTATCTCTCTTAGAAATAGCCACATTACTTTGCGTCACTTTTTCCTTATGTCTTCGTATTTTCTCTACTTAATTTTCCGGAAGAGATAAATATATATAAATTGAATAAATCCCAAAACGATAGACTACAATAAGACCGATATTCACAATCTATTTTTATTATATTCAAGACCGTCTTAAGTAATGTCTTAAGAAATTAATACAGCTAATACCTACTCTGTTCTATGGCATCTTAAGACGTTACTTAAGACAGTATTAAATACAAAGATGGACTATAAATATACCGGTCTAGGAGTTTCTCAAAGTTCCGTTATCATTATGCAAACAAATTTTGACACATTCTAAGGCTGGATCCTCATGCTGACACCGGCACTTTGACACCGAACGCTGAGAATTCTCTCGCTATTTACCCTCACTAATCGTTTTCTGTCAATCAGCGTTCGGTGTCAAAGCGCCAGTGTCTGCATGAGGATCCAGCCTAAGAAGTCTTTTACGTCTCCGTGAAAAAAAATCATAGTTAGATGATGTGTTCTCCAAGTGGATTTATCATAAATTAACGCACGTAATTAGAAATGCAATTATGGATTCAACCAAACATAATTTCTCAGAAAATACGCACATGTTTGAATTGTGAAAATATTTGACTTTGAATCATAAATATAAAGTTACACGTATTGAACAACATTGACCAAATTTTAATAAAATTATATTAAAATTATTTTAATAAAAAGAAAGTAGATCTATTTGTTTTGAAATACACGTTGCGTTCTTTTTTAAATTATAATTTTAAATTTAAATCCTCTTTTTTCTCAGTAATTTAATTCCAAATGCACGGAAAGTAGCGTAGCTAATAAGAACGGACATTTAAAACAGACATTTTTCATAAATTCAGCAGGAGTTCGTTGTTTTTTGTTTTCGCTGTACGTATGACAGATTTCAGACTGTTACAGTATTTAGGCAACGCGATAAATTTCTCTCGTGCAACATGTAACCTATACGTATTGCAGCAGTTCGTAACAAATGTGTCGCAAACTGCGGTATTTCGATCGCGCGTGCCGAAATGTCCCGGCGGATGCGGCGGTAAAATGATAGATTTGACCCCCGTAAAATTTCTCATTTGCCTGAAAGAACTGATTGTTGTAGCGCAGCCTCTCACGACAATCGTGAAATGCGTGCTGCCGACAGTGATCGGGCAATTGACGGGGCCGAGATCTCTACGATGGGTAAGAGCCTGATTAATTCGCAGCGGAGACGAGAGTATTGACGTGTGTTTGATCGATCCCGCTTTCTCCTTACAGGCGCGAAATGTCCTCTTTAATCTCGCTACCCCATTTCGTGCGATATATCCTCTTATCAGCACGGCATGAATAAGGACAAAAATGAAGAAACGTTAATATAACGACACTTTCGTTAGCGTTATCGTGGTAAGCATTACTTGTGCGGAAAAAGAAGTAAAAGGAACCGCGGGAAAATGTCTGATAAAGAGGTATACAGTCGCTCGCAATTACATACATCCCGGTATGTGCTTAACGATTCCCGTTTTTGCCCGCATTCATCCACCATTGCGCGACACGTGCGCGAAACGTAACAATATGTCATACATGACAATCCGTTAAGGAAATTATGGGTTAAATCGCGACAAGTCACTGCTGATAGTTGATGGTATGTCGGGCTTAAATTAAATAAAGTAGATCGATGACATATACGACCCGTCTATCGGTAATACGATCTCGTATTGAAAAATAGAATTTCTCGTGCAGGCGCACTAATAAATCATGGACTTGTAGACTCTCCTCCCCCCCCCCTCTCTCTCTATCTCTCTCTCGAAATTGAGATTCCATATCGCGTCGAACTTATCCGGGGATCAATACCGAAATCATCGACAGTGTATTCGCCGGCCTGCATAAATTATATGCATGATTATACGATATACGGCGGTCTGTCGAACTCTCGCAGATTAGAGCCACGCATTACGATTCATCGATCGTTAAAGTTTACGAATACGTGAGGGAAGTGTGACGCACTGCAGATGCATTATTCACAGGTACAAATAAAAGATTGGGAGTAACGCGTGGGTAGCGTAACGCCGGCTTTCTGAGACGATTCTCCGTAAATGTCTATTTCACGGTCTAAATACTTTTGTCTTTCCTTTTATACGGCAATTTGCATTCTGTGGAAGGGCGATATTCGCATTTTGCGAGTTAAATCGCATACGACTCATTGAAAAATTTAATGTTAAACTGCGCGATAAGCAATTATTATAAACCAAACGAAAGTGGTCTCATGCAATTAAGAAAAATGATATATCTTATAAAATAGTACGCGGACAATTGAAAATATTATTTAGTATCGCATCGGAAACGATGTATCAAAACGCTATTTTTCACATGGTTTAGTAGCTTTTATGAAGTTCAATATTTCCGTTATATTTATATGACATCGTATTCGCGTGCTGCGTGTCTGTTACCTCTTTTTTCTTTGGCCTTCCTATCTCCTCTGAAAATCGACGATCTGATTTATCTGTTTCACCGGTCAAAGTATGATATGGCAATAAAGTGCGATATAGCAATAAAGTGTATTCTTGATCTTTTGCAGTTTGCGTTCTATTTTTACCTATTCGGCACGATATTTCTGCTGGTGGACTCATATGCCGTGGCAACGAAATTGCCTTCCACGAGATGTACGTATAGCGTTTGCCATTACCATCAAGTGTATTTACCGGAGGAAGCGATGGCATTGCAAGCACGCGCCAGAGGAATGTCCGATCTCTTGGAAGGCGTCGCGAGACATCGCCGGAAGAACGTGATTCATTTCATAGTTGGCAGATAGCACGGTAATATCGCGAAAAGCAACGGTATAGCATCTGCGGAGCTAGTTGCCTACGTGTTGCTTCGATATTTTGCGTAACGATCACAACCAGCGTCGGTGCCTTCGTGTGCTTTCAGACTAAAAGCTCCTAAATGAAGTTTAACATTTTTTCGGGCGACGTCAAAAAAATTAGGATACCCTGACGGAGCGCTGAAGCGATTTTTGTTAAGTAATAGAAATAGCTTCTTGGCACAAGATGTTAGATATTCCAGACACGTGCGCGACGGGATTTAGAAAGCTAATTTCAGGTATTAGGCGATTCGGTTAAGGATGAGCCCCATCATTAAATTAGCTTCTCTCCATCAATCTTTGCTCGAGGCTTACTCTTGAAATATATAATCGTATTACAAGAAAAAAAAAACAAATAAAGAAATTTGAAATAAATAAATTACCGGCTTGTTATTGTAAACAATAAATAAGCTAGGATAAGAGGCCAAAGATGAAATACAGGTGTCAGTTAATAAATTAGTTAATATTCAAGTCATATATAAAAGTTATATATTCCGAAAGAAGCGAAAAATTTTTTTTTTCGCGACACCTGTATTTCGCTCGTTTTTGGCCTTTATGGTATACTAACATATTCAAGTTCAAATTTATTGTTTACGTCTATTCTATTGTTATTATTACGATCCATCCTCATTAAGATTTAAAAAATAACCAGAAAACAAGATGTAAAGATATCAATTAATCGATGCAATATTCCTACTTTTGTGTATATCATTTATAAATTCTATAAAATTATGGATTTTTTTTATAGATGTAAGTTTCGTTTCGCCTAATCAAACTCTAACGCAGAGCGATACGTAGCGGATGGAGAGATAATATTCACAGTTTTTACCGATATTTCTTGCGGAAATTCTTGAAGTGTGTAATATTTGCAGACACACAGTTGAAGAAGAGATCCCGCTCGAATTCACCGAGCGAGTGTAAAGAAGTAAAGACGAATGGGAAAAATCGGTCGTGCGTGTCATATAGGGTTTCTCCGAGAGCGCGGAGTGTCATTTAAACCGACGAGCGGCTCCGTCCGGGCTTTTTCAAAGGATAAAAGCTGCGCGCGCGACGAATGTATTGTCCGACAAACAGAGTCACGAGCTGCCGCGACCATGACTACTTTGATCGACACGCGGGCGATAATTTTATGCCAGCAGTTGAAACTCGCTGAATCCCCCCTCCCCCCCCCCCTATCGACCTCAATGAGATCGCATCTCGATGGGACAGCAATTGTTGAAACCAACTCGTAATTTCGACGAGTTTAAATCTCGATGTCACAAACACGCAAAAATCTTTATATCGAAACCGCGACTGCAATGCAACACGCAAAAGCAAGAAAGTAGTACAGTTTTAAATTCATATAGCAAAACATTATATTCAGATCTACGAACGACATCGCAGAGATCATTTTTTTTTGTTTTCTTCAGATATATAAAAAATAAAATGAAGAAACAAACTCACGGAAAGATGATTTAAATCTTTTCCTCGAAATGTATAATAAGTCTCCATTAATACGGGCGCCATTAATTGTTGCGCCGAGCGTCTCATTTATTAACGGCGACAAAAGAGCAATAACTGAGGAAAGTGGAGCGTTTTTCGTGTCTGTTGTAGTAAATTTAATTCACTATTTCGGTTTCGCCGTCTTTATCCGGCTAAATAGACCTGTAAGCGAATATAATTCGTTCCCGTGAGCGAATAAAATTTCTTGAAAATAGGTCGGAATGAATGGAGATTAAAAGGTAAATCCGATCTGTGCGGAGTTCCCTGTAGAGGATTGTGCCAATCTGACGGTGTGATCCCGAAAGAGCTTTGTTCTTCAGATTAATCAAAGTATCTTTATTATATCAAACGATATGCATAGGCGAAAAACACAGACCGAGTGAATTTAGCCGAGTTAAGTATTCGCGGCGCGTTCGGCCCCGTCATAAATATTGAAATTAATATTTCCGCATAACTTACTTCTCTCATCCACAGCCGGCTACGTACCGCGAATTCGTGATGTGTCCATCGGGAATCTCATTTCGAGGAGACCGAGAACGTTGCCTGCGCTTAGTTTCATAAACTTACTTTATCTTAGAATGCATAATCTAGGAGTCCCGTAGATGATATCCATTATCTGCGCGGTAGACATCTGTTTATTTGAATATTCCGTTACGAAGCGCTATATTTCATTCGGCACACAAGAGACCGTTAACTTCATTTTTTCAGATAAAAAAGAAATAAATACAGTTCCTCTAGCTTCAAACATCGAATAAAACCACAGAACGCATACAAATCCTCTTCTCTTCGAATTTTAGAATATCTGTTTTTTTTAATTCTGTATATGTGTGTGTGTGTGTGTGTGTGTGTGTGTGTGTATTGATGTTTGTAGTATATTTTTAGTTAGAGAGAATCAGTCATTACGTGTACGAGAAGTAACTCGAACGCGAAATATAAAATGTTTTTCTCAAAATATTTATTTAGATGCAAAAAATAATATCATTTTGCAAAATAAAGTTCCATTTATTTCAGGAGTTTTAAATAGGGGTTTTATGCAAAGCATCATCGAGGACAGAGTGCAGTTATGCAATATATAGTTATACGTAAACTTATAATATTTAAGCAAAAATAAATTTTAAAAACCGAGGTACTAGTTTCTCTCAACAAGTTTAACGATGAAACAACAGAACATTTCAATAATAATACGTAAAATTAGCGAATCAAAAGTAATATTTCCAATTGTCAAAATCTAAAGCGTTAACAATTTCCGATAATTAATAAAAAATGCATAACTCTCACAATCAGTTTTAATTAATATTTTTATGTCTCTGTATGTCGCAAATACAGTTACGACATTCCGCAAAATTCAGAAAATATCACATGTCGGAAAATTAATAGAATACGGATTGTGTTATATGTATTATTCGATGAAACGTTTAATACAGTTCCATAATTAACGCGTGCGTCTGATGTACCACGAAAGGGAGCCTTCGATTGTGTCTAAGGTAGGTGCGTCTGAAAGCACAGTCTTAGCATCGTGAATAGACTGAACTAAACTTCATATTTACACATCGACATAAATTCGGTTAAACGACACGTTCCAATTAACGATATGTGGGAGTTAAAACGTTGATCACCTACAAAATCACTTTGATGATAAATGTCACATGATAATAACGCACGATTATTGAATTCAGCGTGAGTAATAATCGATAAATTACTATCTAAATCTGTATCAAGTGAAATCACGAATATGATCTACGTATAGATAAAAGAGTAGAGAAGTAAACCACCACCAATATATATACGGCATATTATTCTCACGTGTTAAAATGACGGCAATATATATATGGTACTAAATAATAGGTGGAAAATAACAATGGCGAAATGAATAATATGACAAATGAACGATACGTGCAGCGGAGCGATTCGAATAATCTGCAAATAAAGTGAAGCAATACATTGAAAGCAGAAGTTTACTGCACAAAATGAGAAATGTTCACGGAAGAATAGAGCCAATTCTATTACACTGCAGGTCCACGTTTTGCCACAATCGCTGCCAATTAAAAGAGTTATCTGTATGATATAAAATTATACCACATTATTATTAAAGTCTTTCACTTTATGGTAATTCTATATAGAAGAAAGTATTTTCAATTATTACATTCTCTCTCTTTCAGATAATGAAAGAAATAATTTATTATAATGTTGCTGCATCAAATCCGTCTTAAATTTTAAACATCGGCCAAAGATTAAAACTTCGAGCTTTGTGTAATAAACAGTGAATAGATGAGGTCTGCAGACGAAGGTAGCATAATCAGATTGTCCTTAATGTCCTTAGGAAACGCGGAGATCGATATATTAAATCTAAGTTAAATTCAGTGAATTTCGTGCCAAATATGGCTCCAAAAAGAAATCTTGAATAGACTCAAATAGTTTCCCTTTTCCCAAATCCCGTTTGGCAGCCACGAGTCACTTTTGCACGAACAAAGATCGCGTGACAAGCTGTAAAGAACGCTCGACGCGATTTCAAATAAGAATTTCCAGGAAAGTTTATTATAAGAGTTGATATAATCGCTCTATTTAACGTTTTCTATTTAACGCGTTAAATGAATATCGTTAACATTTCAATTTTCAGACTTAATTTTCCGGCGAACGAAATTTCGTGTACATGAAAATTTCATCGTACATATTCAACATGTTGTCTTACGCAGGATTGCCGATAGTACTGTCAATAACAGAACCTATACCGTATGAATAAAATTCTGCGAATAAATTGGACCGTTTGATTAAAATCAATCGTTCAAATATCGTTTAACCAGGATTGCTTCAAGATATCGCGACGTCGGCATCGTTTAGAATAATATGCGTCGAATATCTGGAATATTTTGCACGCGGCGATCAGCCGGGATTCTATTGGACGGGTGGCGCAGCGTGCTCTCTCTCTCGAGGGGGTTGAAGTTAAGGGCTGGGATGCGTGGTGGATGGGCGCGCGTGGTCCGATAGCGAAGACCGGAGCGCTCCGCGGTCGTCACTTGTTCACGGTCTGTCGAGTGGAGCACACTTTTCCACCCCCGGTTACATATATTTCTCGCGCGCATATTTATCGTGGCTGTTTATCCCCGAAGAAAATTAAACGGGCCCGTTCTCGGAAATATCCACCGAGAACCGAGCGATCTCGTGATCGATCAGTGAGCACCGATCATATTCTGAGAATAATGAGTCAATTAATAGCGACTCGACGCTCGCGCGACGTTCGATCTGATGTGTTGAAAATCGAGAGAGCGATCGTTGAGTTTCTGTGCGTTGGTTGACGGAAATTTTTTAATGTAGTGCGGAATCATGACTGCGAATAAGAGGAGAAGAAGCGAGCCTGCTTATTCGGGATAAAATCGGCGCGCGGTGAACGGACGGATTCGATCGGTGACACTATCTAACGCGGATCGACCGGGCGATCTGATGAAACGCGCGAAGTATGGAATTTTCGGGCCGATATATCGTGAAGATCGACAACATCACGGAACTGATGATGAACCTGAGCGAGTCTGAGTATGTGAGATTGATCTGGGGACCGAAGCATCTGCCGCTGAAGCTCGTGCTGCCGATTACCTTCGTCTACGTCGCGATCTTTGTCACTGGCGTGTTCGGCAACGTGGTCACCTGCATCGTCATCAGGCGGAATCCCGTCATGCAAACCGCCACCAATTATTACCTGTTCAATCTAGCGATATCCGATCTGCTTCTCTTGATCCTCGGTAAGTCCAGTGATTTCTCTCGTCAAAATTAATCTCCCAATTGCGTATTTCTTCAATCTGAAGTTGCTCTTCAACAACAAATTCTACAATCTGAAATTGAAAATAATGCAATGAAATAATACGCATATATTATGCAAAATATTTATAAAATTTAATATATTAAATTTGTTTGATAAATTATTGCTGAATCTTGAAGGCCAATGTTTTAAAATTTAAGACCGATCCGATAAATTTTTGTAAAATTATAATATGACAATAAAAATTAATTTTTAAATACCTTTATATTTTCAACATGCGAATTAAATTGTCTGAAGTTTCAATTATGTTCCATTTAAAAGTTAAAATTGTACTCTCTAAAAGTGAATCAGTGGAATCATCGCTAATTATCAGTGTATATCCTTTTCCGGTGACATACTTATAACTGTGATAAACAGTGATTATTTCAATGTCGCTTCAATGATAATACATTGATTTAAACAGTGAATATCACTGAAAGACAGTGAATTTCACTGTCAAACAGTCAAATTCACTGTCTTTCAGTAATATTTACTGTTTAAATCAGTGTATTATCACTGAAGCGACATTGAAATAGTGACTATTTATCACAGTTCTAAGTATGCCACTGGAAAATAATATACACTGATAATTAGTGATAATTTCACTGATTCACTT